GGGGGGGGGGGGGGGGGGGGGGGGGGGGGGGGGGGGGGGGGGGGGGGGGGGCGGGGGGGGGGGGGGGGGGGGGGGGGGGGGGGGGGGGGGGGGGGGGGGGGGGGGGGGGGGGTGTAGTTGGAGGCGCGGTGGTGGGTGGGTGGGGCTGGGGAGGGGGGGGGGGGGGGTTATAGTTATCGTACGGATACTCATCGGTGCATTCCTCGTCGAGGTTCTCCGGGTAGCGGAATGTGGTGCTCAGGGAAATGGGAGGGGCGATGTCGGGCTCTGCTGTGACTCCGTTGTCTGCGTGGAGGGCTGCTGTTGCAATCATGTCGAACATCTTCTGAAATTACTCTGGATGAGGAAGAAATGTTGCCGAACACGGAGCAAAGGATAGATAGATATACTTATGTCTCGGCTACCTTCGGGCACTGAGAACCTTATTGTATACCCCGCTTATAGGGAGTCGGAAGAGAGAGTTATGAGCTTGATCGTGATGCATTTCTGATATTGAAGAGATAACAGCTAAAATGGATGTATGTACAAAGGAGTTGCATGATGAACATCCAGAATAACACCAATTCGAAGCCGAGCTCCCAGTTACAGGTCAATCAATGATGTTCCAGGAACAAAAACGGCGCACATCCTCCGAGATCGCACCATCACCTGCGAGCCCTAAACACCTCGATAACATCTCTCCGCGTTAGAAATGTAGGCCAGTAGGATCCATCGAAGCAAGTGAAGGCCACTGGCGACACAGAGCATTAAGACAAGTGTCTGAGCAATCACTGCTGGCCAGCTCAGTTCGTCCTTCGCATACACCTTTTCTTTTGAATCAGCATTCGAACAATGGCCCTGTGCCTGTTCTGCTGAGCCCACTCGAGCAGTGTTTCCGCGCCATCTTCGTGAACTATGGCATCCGCGACGAGACGGTCATCCTTGGCGATGAGAAGCTTGATCAATTTTTGATCTCCATCGGAGAGATAAGCAATAATAAACTCGATGAGCCGATCAGAGTCCAGCGATGCCGTGGTAACGTCTTTATGCTGAAGCAATTTCGCCATGCAACGTTCATAGAACTGTCTGCCCCCAGTCGGAGGAAAGTCTGAGAAATACGCGCTGAGCTCATTCATCGCAATCGCTAGCGCAGTGTCGCCGTTCCCAGCCCTGGAGTTCAGATCGATCCCATCCAGGGCTAAGAGTAGATTAAGAAGGGCCATGTCACCATCCCTGACTGCCCGGTCCAGTACTGTCCGATCCTTCGAATTCCTAGCGTTAGGATCAATCCCTGCTTTTTCGAGGAGAGTCTCCGCGAGGGAAACATTCCTCGATTTAGCGACGGCAGACAACAGCCGTTGTCTTGTGTTGCTGGTCATGGGCTTGATTTGGTCCAGTTGGTCCATAAGCAATTCCGATAGGAAACAGTCGCCATTCTCAAGAGCTTTGAGCAGTGACTTTAGCAGCAGCGGTTTCTCCTCGATGGTCGGAATTGTAGCCTCATGGGCGATTAGCAACTTCACAGTCTCGTCCGTCCCGGTCTTTTTCCACCCATGTGTCATAGCCCACCACAGCGGCGTTAGCCCTTCGAGATCCTTGGAATTTATGTCGACCTTGCCCGTCGACAGAAGTACTCGGATGACGTCGATCTGCTTGTGTTCTGCGGCAATTGAGAGGCTTGTTCGGCCCGTAAATTCCCGAGCATCAGGCTCAAGACCATCCGCTAACAACATCTTCATGATCCCTGCTTGGCCGTGTTCTGCAACTTCGAATAAGATCCCAGGGCGATCAAGTTTGTACGGCAGCGGGCCCACCCCTTTTGACCATAGTAATTTGAAGATTCCTTCGTATCCGCACGTAGCACTGGACAGATACAGCGAGATGAGATCATGGTCCGTAGCATAGTTCACGGAGGTCGCAGGGTGGTCAAGAAGTGCTTCGATTGTCCGCAGATGCTTCAGTCTGACCTTCTTCTCGGACCGTCCGCGTATCTCACGGCCAAGAGCCTCCACTGCAGCCAAGAGAGCCGTTTTGTGATGAACATTATCCCTCGCACCAACATCGACCCAAGGGTCCGAGAGGAGTGTTCGGACCACATACACATGGGCTTTTCCCGCTGCCAGATGCAGTGGCGTGCAGCCCCCGTTATCTGTGCTATTCACATCCACACGGGGAGACTTCAGCAGAATCTTCACAAGGTCGTTGAAGCACTTAGAGGCAGCATATGCAAGGGGCGTTTGTCCTTCAACGTCTTTCCAGTTCGGATCCACGTCCTTTCTCGTCAGGAGATACCGCAGAACCTTGGGTGAGCGATTGACCACAGCGAGACACAAGAGTGAAACGCCTTCCAACTCTTCCACAGCCTTGATATCAAGACCGTCCTGCACAAGAGCCTTCATCACAGTCACCGAGTCGTGCTCAGCGGCCAGGGAAAGCAGTGTTGGCCATAGTGCCAATTCTCCGGCCTCGAGGGATTTCCATAGTGTTTTGGGTCGATCATGCTGGATGGCCCAGAACAAAGCTCGGTCTTGGTCTCGATTAGTGTCGCGTCGGTAGAGTTCGAAGTTGAAGACCGTGTAGAGAGGAGAACAGGTACGGACGAGAGCATTCAGGTCACGGTCACTCTCAAGGTAAGAAGCTATCTCGTACAGCAATTCCAGGGGGAGGTTGAGGAGTGACATGGCTGCTCGTCCCACTCTGCTGATCAAGATGCTGCAGATTGATACTATGAGTAAATTCTTGCTTTTCTGATATCTCAAGGCAGGTTATGTCTTATGATGAGATGCTAAGGATAATTTAGGAAAGTGAGTGTAAAATTCTGGACAGAGATCTTTTGTGTTGATACTAATTTTTACGCGAGAGGATGCGAGAGGACGCGAGATAGTGAGGCGATATTTAAGTGAGATAGTAGTCTATACTTATTCACTATCCTCACTGATTTCCTTAAGGAGAGTGCTACAAGCATTAGCAAAGTAGAAGAGGGTGAATGAATGAATACTAGATAGTCACGTCACTACATCCAGGATAAATCCCGCAAACCATACTTATAATCTTATTGAAGTCTTTCAGGATATAATACTACTGAAATAAGAATGAAGTTATATTATGTAGGCACAGTACAAAGCTCTACTCAACAACCTGTCAGTAGGACTATCACCCAACCCCCTAGAAGTAGGCTTTGTTAGAAACACTGAACTAAAGCAGTTAATGAGATGCCTCCTATCAAACATCCCCCAAGCTGTCATAGTCCATCTCAGTCCAGCCATGCTAATACCACGCTGTTGTAATGACTGGAGACCTTTACAGTCTCTTTATAGCCAGGGCGCTGTCATTTCTTCAGGCTTAAACATTGTTGGCAATTAACTTCTATACTTCCTGTTAGTAAAGATACTGTTACTCAGGCTCAGAGATAATAAAGAAGAATAAGATGGAATAGCTAACCTGCTAGATAGTCACTAGTAACAAAGTGTCCTTCAACCTAGTAACAGCTGTGAAGGTGGCCCTATAAAAATGCTATACTGTTCTCTGTTACTGCAAAGTGCTCTAGAATATACACAGCCACCACTAAAATCCCTGTTCTCATACCTGATACTCGCGCATTCACTAACATAATCAGAGATTAAGGATAGAGCAATGTATCTGTCTATATCATAGAGTTATGGACCTACATGTGGCTCTACTGCCTCAGGCCATACATGCCAACCTCCACGTAGTGCTCGCTATTCTCCTGCTTCCTTCATTATAGCAGAGATGCTCGACTGCTGAGTACTCAATCAAGCTTACTCTTCTCGACCGAATCACCTAAACGAAGTCCTCCCTGGTAACACCGCCCATGAAACCATCTCCGGTACCGAGGTGTACTCCTTCATCGACAAGACCGTTCTTCTAGCCCCCGAAACGCTCGACGAGCATTCGAATTCATCGCTTCGCAAACACCAGGTTTCACAAGGACAAAGCAGTATGGATATAGCCCGCTTCGGAGGCCGTCCAGAGCCCATGGTTCAAATTCCTATCAAGTATCTATCCCATTGTGGCGGCCGCTTTGCACGCGATGAGTGGTTTAGTCGTTAGCGAGCTTTTCGAATCATGGGATGGAATACCTGCCACTTACGAAACGGTTGACACTGAGCATGCGTGAATATGGCTTGGTTCTATGTTTACTACATACATCAATGGGTTGAATGTTTCAGCCCTGGCGCGGTTACCCAGAGCAGTATGCAACCGTGGCCGTCCATCAACCGCTCTCGCCTGCGATCCTTTTCAACATATCTACGGCAAGTCCATAAGCCTCATCTCGGGCCGAAACACAACTGTTCTTCTTGTCGAATCCATGTCCGCACTCTTTCATCCTCCGAAGTACCACATTCCTGCCGCTTGCTATGCCTTCGGTCTCGGCTTTCTTGGCCAATCCCTCTGCCTCGAGCGCCGACGAGTCCAGCTCCGCTGTGACAACCAGCATGTTGGCGGGGTATTTGGATGCATCGGCATACGCCGGCGAGATGCGAGGATCTCGAGGATCCATGTTTCCTATGTATGATTCCCGGAAGATCCGAGTCCAGAACGGCGAGCGCGGCTTCGCGTTCGGTGCGGGGGCCTTTCTCATGCTCGGGTCCATGGCTACATTCGTCGCCGGATAGAAAGCAATGGCGGACTGAAAGGTGCCGGGAGGAAACAGTGTCGGGGCGACGAGCGCGAGGGTGCCGCCCGATGAGAACCCGGACACGGAGACTTGCGAGGTCTGGTACTCTTCCGGCCGGCCAAGCACATATTTGACGGCATCCTCGACGTCGTTGACCGCCGCAGGAAACGGGTGCTCCGGTCCCAGTCGATACTCGACATCGAGTACGGCATAGCCGGCCGTCGTGGCGATGAACCGACAGAAACCGTCGTCGGCGCCATAGAGAGGAACCGCGAAGCCGGAGCCGTAAAAGTTGACCAAGACTGGATTGGGATCCCTGCTTTCAGCGTACTCTGCGGAGGGCTTATAGAGATGGGCTTTAATAGTGCGACCGTGATCGCGTGACGGAATTCTCAGTACAGAGTCGGGGTGAGGCCTCGGGGGCGAGGCAAGGAATTTGACAACGAGGCGGTAAAAGGAGACCAGGAATTTGAGGCGCACATAGCGCAGCAAGGCGGAAAGGCTGGCCATGAAGATAGAATGGCCGCCCAGCTTGAGTCCAACAGGTAGTGGACTTCTAATGATGGTGAAAATACTGGCGTGTTGAGTTGTGTTGTGCTGAGCAGGCAGCCTCCAGCATCCTAGTGGGGAGTGGACTTTGGTATATATAGACAATATTCCGTCGGGTACCCCTTTTTGTTGTTCGTGTCACAATCTAAGAGTAGCACCAGTGTCTCGGATGAAATTCACCTAGATTGGCTAGATGTTTATTATATAGTTCATCATCCATCATCCGTCAGTGGAGTAGCTTCCCATAATTCGTATTCAAGCCAATGACGGCATCTTCTGGCTCTCCCGGCAGTCGTGGAATGACTCACAACTTGGTGATCTGCAGGTCTGGTCCTTGTTCACAACAGAATCAGAATTATTTTTATGCGGGAATATTCCGCGACATGCCGCAAACGCAGCTCAAGTACTAATAGTAAATGATCCGTCACCCCTGAACTGAAGAGGTCGATAACAGCCTGTTTGATAGCCTCCAACCATCGTTCAGATAGAGAAGACAACGTGCATGCAGAGTTAATTTGACATAACTTCTTGCTCAATTCGCGTCAACTGTTGCGTTCCCCAGGTCAAGACTGCGGGTGCGCATCCGCGGCCGTGGTGGTTAAAGCTTGTATAGAGCACTCCTAGGGCCTTTTAAAAGAGGGTCAGACAGATGGGAAAGTTAGACAATATTACCAGCGAGAAACGCCAAGGAACTCTCTATAATCGGCTTCGGGGCTGAAATATTGGTTTCCCTGCTGATTCGAGATGGTTCTAACGCAGGTTTGTACAGAGACGTTCGTTTCTTCAAAATACGGAGGAAGACTGACTCCTCTGTCGTGCTCTAGAACCTCTTCCGAGATTACACCATGCTCCGAGTTCGACTCATCGTCCTTTCCGAGCGAATGTGCGCATCTTCCCGTTCCGCCTGGGTGAGGTGCTCCCCGGGCAACAGAATAGCCTTGTCGATCGCAACAGGCAATCCACGGTGCCTGCCACGCAGCATCACCGCGCAGAGAACCAGCTTGCTCAGGGTATGCCACCCCCCCGAAAAACTAAACAGTTGATCCGGCAGGCCCGTGCTGATTCCAACGGTGCCGTAGGCACTGACGGTCTCGAAGATGATGTTGAAGGCGGAATATGTCACCGGGTCGCGGGTAAAACTACCCGCCTCCACGATACAGATGATGATGACGGCCGCAGCAATCCACCAGAGGTCATAGGCCAGTTGCGCCCGGAGCTGCTGTTCAATAAAGTAACGCCGACCGGAGGGCTTCTTCCCAGGTAGGCTTTTCTCCTGGCCGTTCCGATCCTGCGACGGTGATGGCAGATCGTCGGCATAGATCCCCAGGCTGCGCTCCTCGTAGACGTTGGAGTTACGCATGGTGATCACCACGGGATACACGGAGATGTACATCATGATCACATATATGACCTGCATGCCCAGCTGAAGAGCGGAAATGCTGACGACGTAGAAACCGCCGTTGCGCACACAGAGGGCCTGGAAAAGTCCGTCGAGGATGCGGGAGCCGAGGGGAATCGTGTTTACCGCGGGGTTATCAATCTCTCTGGTTTTAGTACGATTATTTGCTCCTGGCGTGGGCGCTCAGAGCTTACATTTAAAACCTCGAACGCTACCCAGTCGATCCCGTTCAGCACAACCACAGAGCACAGCAACCACCAGGTATGTGGTGCAGGAAAGAGATTGGTGTAACATCGACGGGGATGATCCAGCAGGAAACGGAGAGTCTCACGAAACTCTCGAAAGTAGCCATGCATGGGCAGTAGGCGCCGCATTGCGTACAGGATGCACCGTAGGAATATTGGGTAGCTGGAAGTCCTCGTCAGTATGGGATCACGACGGAGTTTGAGATCAGAGGAGTGGCTTACCAGGTATTGCCCGCCAGGATCAATAGCCCCATGGTGATGAGCATGAACGTTGATGATCGAAAGGGCACCTGCCGACTCAGGTCAGCATATTGATGATCCGGATGGGCGATGTTGACCTCACCATGTTGGCGTCCACAAGACTCATGCCTGAGTTGTTGAACGCGGAAATCGCAAAAAAGAATCCGGCCCACCTGGAGAAAGCAATCAATTCAAGCCTGGAACAAAAAAAAGGGGTAGTGGAACAGAATCCTTCGAAGGGGGCGAATACAGAGATAAATTGGGATATTCACCATGGATCCAGGCCATTCGTCTCTGTCACCGTGCTTTTGTTGCGGGCCACATAAGCCCCCACTGCCAGCCCTCCCAAAAATTGCCAGGATACAAGATAAATGGGCACAATGACGGTCAGCAGACACACGGCTCGATATTCCACACCACCGAGTTTCTCGCGTTCCTCCTCGGTCAGCGCAGGAAAGGTCGAATTTCGTCCAACGTGGCGTAGAAACGCTAAAGGTTCATGAACCGAGGAGGTTGGATCCTCTTCGCGTATGAGCCCAGGATCTGCCGGCTCGGACGACTGTCTGTAGTTCGTATAAGGTGGAAGAAGACGCGGTCGAGGATACGTACTGGATGACTGTTCGCGAGGAGGTTGAACATCAGACGCGAAGGCGAGGCGCATGTACTCCTCGCGATCATTGAGATTCGCAGAGCTAGGAGTGTCTGAAGACTTCCGATCCAAACTAGTATCCTCCGCGTCCTCTCTGGATGGCTGCGGTGCTTCGACTCCCGCAGCCGACGCTACAGGCCGATCAGCAACTCTGCCACCTGGCTGTCTAAGGGAAGAGCTGGAAATTTGACGGGACACATCATTGCGGTCAGGTGCCTGCGGGCTATCGGTTTGCACAGGTCGCATATTTGGACTATCCAAGGTAGTCTCTCGTCGGCGAAGCGACCGCGACAGGGAAAGGCTGGGGCCTGATCGCAGGGATCCACGCGTACTCCTTCTCTGCAGGCGTTGTTCTCGGATGATATCGCTGAACCGCTGTTCGAACGCGCGCCTGCGTACCCAGAGGACGGCGATGGACACCCAGATCTACAACAAGGGTTGGCTGACACTCTCGTATTGACTGGCTGGTGCCGTGGGGGATAACTGGATAAGTGTCTTGAACTTACCACGGAGCCGAGTATGATCAAGAAAAAGAGCAACAGCTGCTGAAATGTGTTCAGTGTCGACAGATTCACCGCGTTGAGGCCTGCCAGTGTCATAGCACTGACGGCGAGATACAAGGCATCGATGTATCGGAGACTACCCAAGGGGTGCGCGGCGCCCCAGAGAATGAGGGAGCTGACGAGACAGGTTCCTGTGAAGTAGGCATAGTGGAGGGTGAGAAATCGCAATCGCGGACGATGTCTCCCGATTAAGTTATGTATTCGACTCATCTCAAGGAGAGACCTGGAGTCTGATGTGGTTACTATGATGGTATACGCATCCCCTGTTATGATTCTACGAGGTAACAACACTGTGATATAATCAATCAGCAGCCGCAGTGGCAAATCAGGGAGTAAGAATACGTGAACCATTGCGAGACCTTAAGCGAGGAACATACCTTCTTATTCTCAACTACCGACCAAATTCTCTCTATCAAGGATAGTTCTGCATGGCTTGCTGTACCTGCGCCAGCCGACAGGTATGTGTGCTGTGTGCAGGTGATCTCATTCTCACGGTTCTCACCTTCGCGCCTGATGCCTGACCAGCCACACGTGACCACTTACTGCCTTAGGCAAAGAGTCCTCTGGCTAAGGATCACGTGGTGCCACCCATGCCTATATACGTACCTCTGGTCAGTATGCTGCAAGTTGTTATGCTGCGATCAGGAAAAGACAAGTTAGTGTTTTCATCGAATGCAGAGAAATTGATAAAGCTTTTGCGCGATTGGAAAATACTTCAATCTCGATCTCAATATTTCACCTTCGATATAAATATGCCTAGATAGGATGAGACCAGTATCATCGCTGAACTGCCCTCTTGTGCTCAATGTAACTAAACAGCCGTAGAATTGACTGTGGTGTTCAAAAAGCTCGATCCCAGCTTCTCCTCCGCAGCCGTCTTGAATACCGTCACGCTCCCCTCGAAGTTGGCGAACATAGCCCCAATGACCGACTCGCCACACGCACTCTCCGTCTTTGTGCTGCTGCTCATATCGTCTCTTTTTCTGCGCTTGAAGTTGATACCGGGGGTAATTTCAACGCAATTGTACTGCGCCTCGGCCGCTCGCAGCTGGCAGATCTCTGAATCCTTGCAATCTCCAGTACAGCTGGAGACATCCCAGCCCCTGCTCTTACGGGCGATGTAGTCCTGGAAGACCCTGTCATCGCTTTCAAACAATGCAGTGACATTATGCCAGAAAGCGGGAGTCAGCTCGCTCGCGCTATCTGTGACAGGGGGACTCAGAAGAGAACCGTATGCCTCCTTGACGGAGTAGTATTTCTGCCAGGTAGGCTTGCTCTGGTACGTCGGACTGGACATGTTGGCAATGTACACGGTGTAATCCAGCACGCCAAAGGTGACCGGGTCGACCGAGTAGACGCGAAAGGTCGGGTTCCCCGATGTCGGAGTCAGCGCGGGAGCAATATACGACATCATCGTCGCAGTCTGCGCATTCTGGTCTGCGTAGGTGGAGTAGGCAATCTCAAACTCGTCTTTGTGGGTGTGACCGTAGAACAAAGCGGCGATGGTCGCGTCATACCGCTGGACAATCTGGTTGAAGTAGTTGGATGCGTCGTGAAAGGCATCGCCAGATCCCATTGGCATGTGGCCGAGCAGCCAGACTCGCTCGCCGGCGGTCTCCGCAGCATCGAGCTCACTGATGAGCCAGGCAAGCTGTCCGCTTGGATCGGTCTCCATGGTCTTTTCGTACAGCCAGAAGTTCTCCTTGTAGTACAAGTTTGTGTTGAAGGAGATGATGCGCAGATTTCCAGCCGGGTATTTCACGGAATACGCGCCGTAATCTTCGGCCGTGGTGGCAGCCGTTGATCCTATCCATTGCGTCCAGTCGGATGCAAGAGTATCGTAAGCCCATTGGCTTGAAATGGTCGTGTCGATGTCAGCTGGAGGAAAGGAATTGACAGGCGCTGCGTCATGATTACCAACCACTCCGTAAACGAGATTGAGGTATGATGGCATCCGGGTGTTGTAGGCATCGTTGAGGTCGTTGGTGACTTCAGTCTCATTGACCAGCCACACGGCGCCTTCTACAACATCGCCTGTGAAGATGGTGAATGCGGCGTCGGGGACCAGCTCCTGTATAGCCGCATACATGCTCTCCTCCAGACTAAGCGGAGTGTCGCAGCTGTGATCGCCAAACTTCCCTGCAGGATAGCTGGTACTGCCGGGTGCATCAGATGTTGTGTAAGGACGGCAGCAGATGTTTTTCGTGCAGTTGTAACTAGTAATATGAGCAATTGAAAGTATACTGCAGGAGCGGGAGAGTTACCTAGCGCCAGTTTCATAAGACAGGTCAACATGTATATCACTGATGTGCACAACCTGAAGAGGTGTTTCTCCACTGGGCGATGGGCGAGATGCATTCGCCGGCTTGGCCGAAGGAAAGTCCACCGTATGGTCTGTGACAGCCGGATAGTCACAGAGGCCAAAGATTGTGGTGCAAAAGAGGGCAGCAGTAGTCGAGGGTATATCCATATTGCGAAGATCATGGGCCAATATAGGGCCTTCGCGGGCGATGGCACCCTCGCAAACATCCGAGTCTTCGACCTGCTCTTGATAAATATCGGCTCAATTGTCTAACGAAGGACTGCTTACCCCCGCCAGAATACAGACTTGGGTTATCACATCCACAAAGTCATCATTGCCAAGATGAGCCAGAACCTGTAGGACAACCAACAGAGACTGTAGAGGTCAGCGACGGGTACATAAGCTTTCATTGTCGTCGTACTCACCTCACAAGCAGCGCAGGTCGCAGCATTTTCGATATCGGTCAAGATCTCGCTCACAGTGCTTCTTTTCACTATTCCATGGCTTTCGCCTGTTGCAACAGCAGAGCCAAGAAGGCTGAGCCAAAGGAATCCAGCGACCTTCATCTTGACCTTGGTTTCAGGGGTCTGGATATTCGAGGAGACTGTGCGTAGGGGCCTTATATATGGCAACCACGCCATACATCGCGCTTCAGTAGCTGCTATAGTCTGACTCGATTATCCTCGGCTTTATGCGACATAGCACCCGACAAAAGGCACGTTCTACCGCATTCTGCAATAATTGACCGGTTCAAAGATTGCTGCGGGGATCGCAGTAGAAACAAGCATCAACTGCATTGAGCATGCTCATGATTGTCTGGCTGTGATTCGACCGGAGAAAAGTCTGCAGAGCGCCCAGATTATATTAAATCAAGACAAGCCTTGCCGTATCGACGGTGGTGATGGTCTTAGTGGAGCGCTAAGGAAGAGATATTCCACCATAGATTGATAAGCGAAGGCGAGCTCACGGAGATTTCTCCATCTCAGGCTAGGTCGAGGTGAACAGTGCGTCATCTTGCAGAAGTAAATCAATCGATATCAGTGTTTCGTTATGTGTCAATCAATTTGTGCAGGACAAACAAAATATTCTTGCATTGTTGCGGGTCGGACATTTTTCGACGGCGTCTGGCTGACACTTGGAATGCATACCAGCTCCGTGCCCTCAATTCGAAAACGGTCTCGGTCACAAAAATGAACGAAGTTTGTATCAGGGACAAATTTCATCGAAGCTACCATATTCTTTGGCTGGCTTGACGCTTTAGACACAACAGAAGCTCAAGCACACTGATCATGTCTACGCTGATAAGCTTGTTATTGTTGATCGATTTTCATCCTCTTATAAACAGAGAAAAGTGGTCCGGGTAATTTAGGTAATTTACCATGCAAAGCAGGAATGCGCAATGGCAAATTCAACCCAAACGCAGTCGCAGAAACTTGTTCTGTCACTTCTAGCAAAGTGCAAGAGGGAAAAAAGAAAGTGGGCTCACCGAGATTCGAATTGCTGTTGATTTCCGTGGAAGCCAGGTAGCACGTGATGCTATGACAAACAGACCAATCACAAGCTCTGACTCCCCTCCCGTTATCATCCCGTCGCTATTCGGTGCCGACTCCTAGCATATTGTGACTCTTTCTCACCTCACGACTGACGATGAGCGAATTAATGATGATTTTCCGGAGACTAGAGGGTACTCGAATGTTATCGATCGAATCTCGATAGTCCTCAGCCCTGTCTCTCCTTGAAACAGCTCAAGTTTGGGTCCTGCAGATACCCGTTTTTGGGTCGCCCAAGGCCCCAAACACACCCGTGACTGGCGAAAATCGATCAGACAATGGGGGGTCGATAGTGAAATGTGGGGTCTTGCTTTTACAGATGACCATGCTTCCATTGTTTCATCTCGAACTCTTCTTGAGTATTTTTGGATGGGTACAGAAGGCCGATGATGGTCCAAAGATGTGGGCTAAAAATATATGGAAAGGATGTGGGAATCGAATGACTTAGCTAGGCCTGCGTCTCCTACAAAAGAGTACGGTCTGAGCTCTCAAGCATCCTCCCTGTCTGCCTGCGATCACCTATCCACAAGGTCGCGTACACTCTGACAAGGTTGGTAGCACAAAGAGCACCGTGCGTTTCCCCCTTGCATGTGTAAGGTACAGTCAATTGACAAATCTAGATGCTATCTCGAACAGCTCTTATGGCTTTGGCGCTCCAGGCAATTGGCCTCGGGGCTGTAAATACCCTACACACTACAAATTATCTACAGCAACACCAAACAACATCGCCAACGAGCCCTCGGGGTCTGTTCAGCGGAGATAAGGAGTTCGATTATGTGGTGGTCGGAGGTGGTACGGGTGGCAGCGTCGTGGCCACCCGGTTGGCGCAGCAGTCTTTCAAGGTCGCTCTGGTCGAGGCGGGCGGAACATATGAGCTGGAATCACTTGCTGCGACTCCTGCAGCAGATGTTCTGCCAGTCGGGTCCGATCCCGATACGTCCTCCGCGGTCGATTGGGGCTTTGTTGCAGAAAATCAAGCCGGGGCCAATGGACGGTCGATTCATTATGCCAGGGGGAAATGTCTTGGAGGCTCGTGAGTAAGCCTGGCACTTGGCTAAAGGGTGACGGAACTGACGGAGCATACAGGTCGGCGTTGAATTTTATGATCTATCAACGGTATTTGCCCATTTAGTGGCTCGGAATGCCACAACTAACCAATTCGCAGGCCAACGCGAGAGTCCATGGAACAATGGGCAACTGCAGTCAATGATAGCAGCTACGCATTCGAAGAAGTACTTCCGTACTACAAACAAAGTGTCCGATTCACACCTCCCAATACCGAACTACGAGCCGCCAATGCATCAGCCGCCTACGATGCTGCTGCGTACGACTCAGCAGGCGGGCCACTGCAGGTATCCTACGCCAACTTTGCCATGCCGTTTTCCTCGTGGATGAAGCGCGGAATGGAAGCAATAGGAATCAACGAGACCACGGAATTCAATCTTGGGTCGCTAATGGGAGCGCAATACTGCGCATCCACCATCAACCCCAAGAATGAACTGCGGAGCAGCTCCCAGGCGTCATTCCTAGCCACCAATCCTTCCACATTGACGACCTACACCAATACGTTAGCGAAGAAGATTATCTTCAGCGGCGGAAAGAAGGCCACCGGCGTCCAAGTACGAGGAGCACTCGGCAATACCTTTACGCTCTCTGTAAAGAAGGAAGTGATCATCTCAGCAGGCGCATTCCAATCACCCCAGCTCCTGATGGTATCTGGCGTCGGACCCTCCGATATCCTCGAGGAGCATGGAATTACCGTGCTGGCGGATCGTCCTGGCGTCGGTCAGAACATGTGGGACCACCCGTTCATCGCACCCTCGTACCGGGTCCAAGTAGATACCTTCACCAAGTTCGCGACTAACCTCCTGTACGCTGCCGGGCAAGTTCTGAACGGCCTACTCGTCAAGAACGGCCCGTTGACAAACCCCGTTGCCGATTTCCTAGCGTGGGAGAAGATTCCCCAGAGCTTGCGGTCTGGCTTCTCTCAGCAAACGCAGACTGCCCTGGCTGGTTTCCCTGATGATTGGCCAGAGGCCGAGGTACGTCGCAAAACCTTCTACCTGTCTGCCAAGTTTCTTCACTAATGCACACACAACCAGTATATCTCCGGCGCAGGATACATGGGCAACGTCTCCAACCTTCTCACCACGCAGCCAAAAGACGGATACCAGTACGCCTCCATGCTGGGCGTGCTGATCACTCCGTTGTCCCGCGGAAACATCACCCTCAAGTCAGCGGATACCTCCGACCTTCCCGTGATCAACCCCAACTGGCTCGCAGAGGAAGCCGATCAGCAGGTGGCCATTGCCATGGTCAAGCGCATGCGAGAAGCCTTCCAGAGCGAAGGCATGGCGCCGGTCATAATCGGGGAGGAGTACTATCCTGGTGTCGAGGTCCAGACCGACGAGGAGATTCTGGAGTTCATCCGGGATAACGTTATGACTTTGTGGCATGCCGCTTGCACGTGTAAGATGGGCACTGCGGAGGATGAGATGGCTGTTGTCGATTCGCAGGCGCGGGTGTATGGAGTTTCTGGACTACGTGTGGTGGATGCCAGTGCGTTTCCGTTTCTGCCGCCTGGCCATCCGCAGTCTACAGTGTGTAAGTTTTGGACACCTTCAGCCAAACACATCCACCTCTGACAATGACTTAGATATGCTTGCGGAAAAGATCGCGGATGCGATCATCAAGGGTTCAGAGTCTTTGTAAGGACGATTCCACGTATCATACGCAATGCATCCATTCGATTGTATAGTCCACCTGTTTGTAAGTAGTATACCGCAGCTCGGCTTGGTCCTTACAAGTGGCATCCTCCTCTGTAATGATAATATATCAATGTTTTATTATTTATATCGAACCAATTGCCGTAAACTCCCCAATGCTAATGAAGAAAAAACATATATATACCTCCCTCATTCTCGTCATTGTATATCTACTGAGAATTTGGGTGCCCAAAATGTGACATTCGTACTTGATGAGAAGGCCTCGGTACCGAACTGGAGGATACCGACGTAGTCGGATTTTGACGGGTAAACGGCCCCGCTCATGGTGTATAGATCGGTGATCAGAGGCAAGAGATCACCGGTGAACGTGTCCGTAGTCTTCGCGCGCCTCGTAGAAGCGCTCGTAGAAGCGCTCGTAGAGTCGCTCGTAACCCACGTCAGAACATACTGCTGCTTGTCGTTCTGACCTGTATATAGGTCGCTGCAAGAAGAACAAAAGCATGTCAGCGAAAAAGGTAGCCAAGTGTCATGGGAAATTTCACTCACAAGGTAGTCCCATTCAACACTTTGGTCGCAACTACACCAGCGTCTTGTCCAATGACTTGTGCAGCGTTCCCGAACTGCGCGAACCAGACCATTACTTCATGTGAAGCCTCGGAGCTCTTCTTCGCACTGCCCGCGTCGCTACTGAAGAACATATCGATAGCAACGTTCGTATTGACAGCTTCGCTGTTCAGTTCGTTCTCGTTGGTCGCCGCAGCGGGTGTGTTGCCTACTCCGTACGTCCAGTGGAGATCGACATTCAGATGCTGTATTTTCTCCAGAGAGATAGGCAAGCCATCGTCAACCATCACGTTCGAGAAGGCGTGGACAGGTTGTGTCTCCGGACCAGGGTCGAATTGCCATGTGACAGAGAACTCGGGTGCTGTGTTCTTGGTCGCGTATGTCCCGTTTTCGAAGGTTGTGACCTTTTCAATATTTGTTAAAAAAGCTCCCAGCATAGCTCTTAAAGACTCCGTGTCTCAATACTTACGTTCATGCATAATGATCCGATTGTATCGCTGGTCACACCCCATTGATTGGGATTTACTGCAGTAATGGTTAGTCACTCGAAACCCGATAGGAACTCTAGGAGACGAACATGTGAAGCTTTGTCCTTCTGTTGAAGGTGTGATACCATATGATTCCTGGCAGTACTGTGTGTTGGTCACTCCATTATGCGTGGTGCTACCGCTGCCACCAGGACCAGAGCCCGAGCCCGAGCCCGAGCCCGAGCCTGAACCGCCGCTGCCGCCGCTGAATAGAGGCGCCTGTCCTGTCGCTTGTCGGTGCGCATCTATTCCCATCAGAGCACCAACAGTGCCTCCGATGGGGATGGCCAAAAGACCGGCATTAACAACCCATCGAAGCACCATGATAATTTGATGTGAAGACTGTAGATTCAGAGATGTAGGAGGAGGAAGGTCATGGAAGGAGAGATCAGCAGCTCATAGGGTGCTTTGGGTTGAGTGGGGAGAGAGTGCGGTTATCAGCAAACATTGCCTTGGGTATCCATAGGTAGATGTAAGGAAGGTGTAACGTACAGAAATAAAATTGGATTGTTTTCATATTTTGAGTTTAGGGTGGGGGAACAGGGTCTAAAACAGACTAATCATATGCTCGACCGGGAGGTTCCGTGATAACGAGTGGGACTGATAGGCCACAAAGTTGGTACAGTGGCTGTAATGAGGTACACGATCCCGAAATTTAAGCGATTAAGTAATAATGCAGTGCAACCAAGGAACTTCAAGGGAACTCGAAATGTATTGGCCTGGGTGTGCCTGAAAGCAATTCCGGCAGGGTTGGCAGGGGAAATTTCCTCTTTAGTCATCTTAGGATGCTTGGTACGTCGAGGGAGTCGACCATGGAAGAGCTTCGAATGTCTTTTGCGTACCTGTAACTTCCAGTACGTACGACAAGGATGACGCAAGCGGAAAGCCTACCTATCATGAGTGCCATCTATTTATATTAGCTTATCACAGGCTAGTGCGCAAACGGCCTGGCCCCACTGATCATGTTATCGCTGCATCCAGATCACACTACGTACCTCACTAGTTTCAGGGCCTCAGCCATTCACATTCAGCAGTTCAAGCAAATCCTTGACTAAGGCAATGGCCAAGGCAACTGGTAAATGAGCCCTAAATTACTGGAGGCAGATCTTTTGCGGTAGGTCGCATGCTCTGGTTACCTTGGGACTTTGGTACTGTAAATAATTTCCACAACAGAGAGGTACATACTCCCGTAGTAGTAGTGATAAGAATAAGTACCTACGGAGGACGCCGGACAAGGAACTGAACAGGTACCCTCGCCCTCGCCCTCGCCCATCTTCCTGCCTCGTCTCTCGTTGAATCTATCCATCCACCTGCGTCCTACTTCCCTTGTACTCCAAAGCTCTCTGGGCTTATCACACTCGTTTAATTATTTCTCGGGAGTAGTACTCTAAAATCGAATCAGAATATCTCGCCTTTCCTCTTCATACTCCGAATATTTTGACACATTCCGATCCGTCTGTCAAGTACTGTCACGAGGCCAAAATGAATGGGCGCTATGGCCAGGAGGATCAAGAAGAGAAGGTCGGGCTCAACGTCCACCATCGAGTCCACCACAATCAGAGCAGTTTCGACTCGCTAGATCAGCTTCCACCAGGAGCTCTGACGCCTGTTCGGGCCGGTGAAATTCCTCTGGAGGACTATGGGTATCATTTTTCAACGGCTCGGTCGTCTCTCAATCCAGAATCGTTTGCCAATGCTTCTCTCGACTCTCGTTCAGCGTCACCATCTCTGGTAATTACAGGCCCGCTCCTTCGTTCTGCTGCTTCTCTTTGTGCACACAAAACTAACAAATCCCTTGGTCAACAGTATCAAAACCATCAGCTGCTTCAAAGTCATCAGAGTCTCGCTCCTCTCGTCAACACCCCCCCTTCACCGTTATTCGCAAAGGATTGGGTCCAGTCCGGGTCGATAGCTCGCCTTCACAATCGTGACGATGCCGAGATCTGGAGAGGATGGAAGCGATGGGTCTTCAGCCTCGTTCCCTTCCTCACGCTGGCCAACACCGGTCTCTACCTCTTCTACCTCGGTCTGCGCATCGCCTGTATCATTCTAGCCCAAAAGGCAGCTGGATACACTTACGCCGGAGCATGGGTTTTCGTCGCTATCGAGATCGCTGTTGCGATCCCCTCCTTGATGCACAACTGCTGGACGATGATGGCACTGAAGAAAAGAGGCAGGCCCAAGCTGCGACTGACCGGGAACGATGTCCCAACTGTGGACGTTTTCGTTACCTGCTGCGGAGAGCAGGACGAAGTTGTGCTGGATACCGTCCGTGGAGCGTGCGATCAGGACTACCCCCGCGACCGGTTCAGGGTTATTGTCCTCGATGACGGCAAGTCGGCCACTCTGGAAGCTGCCGTACGCCAGCTTGCCATTACTCACCCCAATCTCATCTACATGGCGCGAGAGAAGATTCCTGGCAAACCACACCACTTCAAGGCGGGTAATCTCAATTATGGCCTTGAGCAGGTGCACCGTTTGCCTGGAGGCGCCGGCCAATTCATGGCGGCGCTGGATGCTGATATGGTAATGTCCACTGGCGTTTCATCTTGAGTCGAGTCGTTCTCCTAACTGGGCTTCGCAGATCCCTGAGCAAGACTGGCTGCGTGCCGTCCTTCCTCACCTCCTCGTCGATCCCAAGATGGCCCTTGCATGCCCGCCGCAGCTCTTCTACAACACCCCTCCTTCTGACCCTCTCGCACAGAGTCTGGATTTCTTCGTGCATGTGATTGAGCCAATCAAAGATGCGATGGGTGTCGCTTGGTGCACTGGATCCGGCTATGTCGTTCGACGCGAGGCCCTGGACGAGATCGGCAACTTCCCTCTCGGTTCGTTGGCCGAAGACGTCGCAACCTCCACTTTGATGCTCGGGAAGGGATGGAAGACCGCGTACATCCATGAACCTCTCCAGTTTGGTACCGTGCCGGAAGACTTTGGCGGACATCTCAAGCAGCGTACCCGATGGGCGATCGGAACTGTCGACACCGCTGTGAAGCTCAAATTCTGTCTGTGGGGCGACAGCGTTCGACAGATGACTGCTGCTCAGCGCTTTTCGGGATTCCTCTACGCAACACTCAGCTTGTACACCCTGCTTCTCACGGCCTCCATTTTCGCTATCCCCATTATTCTCCTGTGGGGCAAGCAGCTTGTCGCCTATGCGACGCAGGAGCAACTCCGTTGGCTCATCTGGGCCTGCTTCGCCTCGACCATTTCCAACCGAATCTGCGAGTTCGCCCTCTTCATCCCCGCCGGCTACCACACCGGACAGAGAGGCTCGCGCTACCAGCTCTGGATGGCACCATACATTGCCCTTTGCATTGTTCGCTCATTCATCCTCCCCAAATGGCTTGGGGGCCAAACACAGGCCTTTAAGCCGACCGGCTCCCTCAGCTCGGCACTCGAAGAGCGTGATCCGAAACAGAGGAAGAACATGTTCGTTCGTCTGCGGGTGATTTTGCTTAACTACATGGCCTTCTTCCACCTTGCCTTTGTGTATGTCACGCTCATCGCGGTCGTCATCTCGTCATATCGCTGCTTCGCGCAGGAGAGCGGCTTCCGAGATGTCATCCTCTGCTTGATCACGCACGCCTTCTGGCCCCCGCTGACCTTTCTTTTCATCTGCACTTCCCTCTGGACTCCTGTTGCTTACGCCGTCGACCCTCCGGTCATGCCCGACCGTGAGGATCTGCTGGTACGGGACCCCAAGACTGGGGTTGCGCATCCGACACCCCGGAGCAAGAAGATTGCGTTCGGTGGTCAGGCGGCCTGGTTCGAGCTGGAGTACACTGTTGCAACGGCTGCTACAATCCTGATCTTCGTGTACTCGTTCTTTTTCTAAGATGATGTAGACGTGCCGTGGTTTCTGTGATGCATTTGATGGCTGGATCGGCGTTGGGCTTTGCATTGTTCTAGACATTGCTCTACTGTACCCCAGCATTTACACAAATAATGAATCCCGAATATAATGTCTATAATATGGGAATCGGCGAATATTTGATGAATCTTAGCAGAACAATCAGAGGTATTAGCGAGTGACACATGCTACTCGAACGCGTAAAATCCTACCGAGGCTATACACAGCCCTGCATACGGAGTACATCTGTAAAAATCTAGAGCCATTCAAGCACATGGACAGCCTGTACCTTACATCAAGCTAGGGCGCAGGGAACAACACTGCCACTGAAGCAAGGGAGAAGACAAGAATTATATCTAAATGAGTTGACACGCAATCTGTTTGAGTTATTTAAAGTTGAGTTTGCAGATCATTAATAGGGCCAGTGATGATCGTAAGCACAAGCACTTAATAATACCAATTTTAATTTTTGTTTGCCTATGATGGTGGCTTGGCCTGGTTTGTGCTAGGGCGTGGCCGCCTTACCGGATGAGGAGGTGGCCTGAGGTTTTTCAGGCTACTACGGTCCTACGGATACTTGGGTAACCCTAATGGAGTAATCATGAGGATACTTCCTTGCAGGCGATGAAGGGTCTTGGGCCCCTGAGGTCTGAAATGGATTTGAGGGTGGAGAGTGCTTTGTCCTCTTGTTTGGTACTCCGTACTCTGCATATTCATACAGAGCATGTCTGTGTGAGTGGTAGGCGTATGTGGCGATTACTTGAGGACATGGGATACAGACACTTCAAGTTCATCCTGGCCACTAGTATAAATATATACGGAGGTCCAAGGTCAACTAGAAGACATAGGATACCAAAAATATATTTCATTTCGCCCTCTTCAAAGGATGCGCCTCGGTGTTGAACACATATTCGTCCAAACTGATTAGATCGGGACTGCTGAAGAGAAGAAAGAAGTACTTCAGTGTCTCTCCCATCCAGAAGCTCTCCATCGAATCGGTCTGAGGGGGCTGGGGAACGGTGATGTCTGATAAAGCAGCGTTGGCAAAGTCCGTCTCCGTAGCTTTCTGAATCGCCTCGAACATCGCCCAGCCCGCATCGAGCAGATCCTCTCGTCCGGTGATCCGGTACAATATAAAGACGGACTCGATAGCCTCCGGCCGCAGGAGATACCGCGGGTCTGCGATTGCAGTAAACCCCTTCGGAAGGCGCTGCTCGTGGATGATGTCCGTGGCAGTTTGAGTCTGGGGATCCTTCACCCTACTCACCACCTCCCTCTGCCATTGCGCTTCATCCCATGGACAAGAAGCTTGGGATGCGCAAGGCGACATGTGAAAGACCTCTGGCATGATTCCTGATGGCAGCGCTTTGTACGTCCAGACACAGCCATCAGTCAGCTTCTGGCCTAGATCGATATGAGTGTCGTTCTGCATCAGTCGTCCACCCAATGCCATCATCCCCCCAGCAAAACAGATCAAATGCTCGCCCTTGGGCTCCAGAGTGACACGGCTTGGCTGGCCGGCTTCGCTCACAATACGCGCAGCTCCAGCAAGCAGGATATCAGCCTCGTCAGGGGTCATTGGACGGAAGAGATTGTACTGAATAGCAGTATCCATAGCATCGCGATACATGCTTTCATACATCGGGAGAACGCCACCGACGAGCGCATGCATTTTAGGGAGATACTCATAGACTGAATCCGCCATAGCGCCCAGCGTATAGGTCGTGTCCTGGGTGAAATCTTCCGCGCGCGCGTTAACGACCACAGGCCACATCCCCGGCAGTTTCGTCCGGTCCTGCTGTCGGTAAAAGATCGACATCACGCGGTGGATAGCATCAAACCACTTCGGATCGCCGGTGATCTGCGAGAGCCGGGTGAATTCCAGCGTGAAAGATCCGATCTCTGCTACCAGCACGCTCTCAGACGCTACCTGTTCCTCACTGCGAGCGGCGCTTCGAAAGTCCCACCGGGTAATGGGCATGCGATTAGGCGTGTCGAACGCGGCGTAGAGCATTTCGCCGACCTCGACGGCTTTGCTTAGCAGGCGTTTGTCAAGACTCAAATCGTAGGCCGCCAGCAGACCGCCCAGGTATCGGATATTGGTCTCAAAGGTATTAATCTGGCTGAGGGACGTGGTCTCAAAGTTGATCTGCACGACCGCCGACACGGCTTCCTCGAATTCCTCGCGGAGTCCCATGATCCATAAAGTATCAAGGCTGTCGACGAGGGTAGCTCCCCATCCACCAAACCAGTTGCGCGTTATTCCAGAAAAAGGCGTCACCTCGTCGGCCAACCATGCGCGAGACTTGTAGGCAGTCCAGCATCGGGTGAAGGCGTCTTTCACGGCCTTTTCACGTTGCGTACGAACTTGCGCCTTTTGAGGATCTGTCTCCGCGGGAAAGTCTGCCTGCACTTTTGGCAATTTCCGTGGCTTTTCTATGGGCAGCGGTGTCATTGATAGGACCGGATATCTAGTCGGACGACGCGTCCACAATAAAGTAGGCTTTGTGACAGGTGCTTTCTGTCTGCTTTCATCGGAGACAATATTTTGGTCCGGAGATGGACCAGGTTCCTTCTGAGAAGTCACTTGGCCTTTGACTTCTGTCGGAATCGACCAAGAACTGCTAGAGAAGTAAAAGTACAGACAGACGAGGCTGACAGCAGTGACTGACACGATGAATGAGTGACGTCGCTTGATGTTCATGTTTAAAGAATGGTTGATCCTGATGAGACCAAAACAGAAGAAGGGGTTAAAACTCAGAAGTGGTACATAAACGAACTTTATCACCTAGACGAAATCACATTCAGCACATAGATCGATTGAATTGTTGATAGTCTATATTGCCAAAGACGTGGAATGGAAACAAAGAGCTGAGGACGGACTTTTGACCTGGAAGTGCTGGCGCTGTCGCCGGGGCGCTTAAGAGAGCGTCGGTGTAGTGCCATACTAAGGGTCTTGGATCTCATCAGCCCAGCGAATAGACGCCTCACAACACAGCACTCCAGCAAGTCCATCCATAAGAACCCTGCATATCTACAGCCTCATCCGTTCCCTCGGTAAATTACCAGCGCTAATTGCAATATTTTAATCCTCGCTTCGTTTACTGGAGTTCATATGTCACAATGATAATAAGCGGGGGCTCTCTTCCAACCTGGGTGACTTGATATTTCTTGTTTGCATGATTGACGACGCTTATGAAGATGTCGATGATATAGTGATGTATAGTACACCAAATCCCCCATGAATTCCTTCCAGCTTAACATCAACCTCTTCCTTGCCATATTATGGCTTCTTTTCCCGAATCCCTCTCTCTCAACGTGCTACTATCCAGACGGCAGTGTCGCACCACAGGACACACCGTGTCAAGACTCCACGAAGCAAGCAACCTGTTGCGGCCAGGGCTACGCCTGCCTCTCGAATTCGATCTGCATGGCAACAGGCGATGAGATCAAGAAACCGGGTCTCTTTGTACGTTCGAGGGTCCTGCACGGATCAAACATGGCGCAGCTCTTCCTGTCCGTTGTTCTGTATCAACCCGGACCCTCCGAACCGCGACAATCTGGCCGGTGGACAGGGGATTGCAAAATGTCCAAACACGGATTTGGATATGTACTATTGCATCGACTACAATATGGGGAATGTCAACTGTAGTGCTCAGCACCAGGTGTTGATTTTCCAAGGTATGTCGCAGCCATATGTTCGGATGCTCGCAGCGAGTGCTGACTTGGCTGTTCGTCTGCAGGTACACCTACCGCTGTAACTACGATCGGTGTGACAGCGACGACGGAGATCACATCATCTACTTCAAGAATATCCTCGGTCACAGCAAATTCTTCGTCTATTGTTACAGCGACCAGCTACTCAACGACGACGGGGGGTCCATCACCAGCGACAAGTAAAGTAGCCGCTGAAACGACCACCTCTGCTGCAGCCGAGCCGAAACCAGCTCAAAATCATACCGGAGTCATCGCAGGCGCTACAGTTGGCGGTTTCGTCTGTGTGGCAGTCATCGCAGGACTCTTATACTTCTTCCGTCGTCGCGCGAAGAGACGGAGAGGGCAGCGCCTTGGACTACCGCCCTCGTCTCAGTTGAGCTCGGGGGATGTTTACATGACTGATATGTCGGTCATGCGTCAATCTATTCCGTCCAAACAGGGCGCGAGGGCGTTGTACGAGGCCCCTGGGACAGAGTACCGAACATATGAGCTTGCGGGGTGACATTATGATTCCAACCGGGGGGTATTGTGGACCTTTAATTGTAAATGTTGACCGGGGGTACTGAACGAACTGTAAATGTAGCTGTCTAACTTTACCAGTAGAGCTCTCAGGTCATGTAGACGAATGAATTGAACTCAAAGTTAAATTGCATCAATTGTAGTTCAACAGTATCTTATGGGAAGACAGTCAAGGTGTCCGTCTCCAGTTCGGACCATCCAAACCTCCAACCAAGAAAATAGTCATTGGGTTCAAGACTGTCGACTGTAAAGAACACAACGTTGCGCTGGCTATCGTCGCATGTGCGGGCTGGACTCTCCCTTACAACTGGAGATGGATGGACTCGTTTGACAACAACTGGGTTATAGATCCGGCGCCAAATAGGAAGGGTATTTTTGGTAGCTACTGGTGGAAGTCGACACGCTTTCAAGTTTCTGCATAAAACGTACAAAATGCTTGACTGGTTACGATAGCGGGAACCCAAGACTGGAGAGCAGGGGCATCGTCAGCTTGTGGAAGGATTTAAGGATCCATATGCCTTGCGAAGCGCCAGAATTATCAAGGCTAACGAGACAAGGTGGAAGTCATGATACTGGGTGCCGAAGACTACGAAATCTATCTTCAACCTCTCGAGCTCATCTGGAGTCTTGCTTGATGCATGAACTTTTGAGCTACACAGACTCAGCTAATGTCAACTTTGAATTCCCTTTACATCCTGTAGAAAGCCACTGGGATAGAAAACACTCCAGAGGCATTGACCTGGTCTGGTGAAAGCAATTTTCCGATCAAAATCCAAGGGTATAATGAAGCAAATAGCGAAAAATGGCCAGAAGTGACAATACCTCTATCCTAGAGGCACTGGTGTCTGTGGGTCGAGGTCCCTCGAAACAGGCCCTCTGCGTAACTCATGTTCGTCGGGTCTAGTGACAGGGCGACCCCTCTCCTGCTTTGGAGCTGAGGTGCTCGGTGCTTCGTGCTCGTCCGACGGAGTGAACAGACGCCTTTCGAGGTCTGATTCGAAAGCAAAGGAGGGGATTCTGGGAGGGCTTTCAGGCCTTCCAGGTTCAAATACATCACGCCCCCCGGAGATTACTCGTGGACGGCGGCGAATCGACCTCAGAAAGTTTCTCACCCGAACGCTGCCTTGCTTGGCCACTCTCAGATTGAGACGTGTCATGATCTCTGGGGTTTCCTCGGGAAGCTCTCTTGCGATGACCCGACGCCGCTGGGCCCCGGAATGGACGGTGGGGTTTCGGACTGTTTTCCTCGTCAACATCCCCATTCACGGCCATTGGTAGGATAGTTGCTAGGGATATATTGACTCATGCCGAAGAAATTCTCTGGATCAGCAGTGTCGCCAACTACATTACTCGCCATGAATCGCATAAGAAGATCCATGTTTTCCGTCGCTTCTTCGGGGGAGTTGAATTTGATAAAGCCACTCTTCCGGATAACAATTCCTCCCTGATTGTTGTGTGCTTGTAGGATCCGCACCTTCCTCTCTCCGAGCAACGAAATAACCATTACCTTTGGGAGAGATCACTGGTTAGTACCAACGAGGGAACCAAAAAAGAAGCGACCTTCGAATGGACGGGAACGTCAGGCCACAACTTACAGGGACAACGCTGTGGTCCTCGTACTCAGGGTTTGCGAGCCGTGTGACCATCGCTGCTACGATCGATATAAGCTCCGCTCTCAGCAGTCTCTCGTCAGGTTCGTATCCCAAAATCAAACTAAACATGACATGAGTAGAGCAGCCCGTTCGGGTCGTAAATGCGTTAGCAGGATTCCATTTCAGTGATTCGAAGATAAGGCCATCAAAATAGTCGTCGATAATGGAAGGAGAGAAATCGCTATCGGTTTTACATACTGGTTAACAGAATGCCAAAGGTAATGAAATGGTTGGGTCTTTCACCACTTACGTCGACAGCCAGCCGCTCAATCGCCTCAAACTAAGAGACCTGTCTCCCGGGACTTCACGAGGGAAAGTCGAAAATGACGACATTATGTTCGAGAACAGCGAGTGTGCGCTATCATGAGCAGTTCTCTCATAGCGTGAGGGCCCTGACAATATTTTTTTTTGTTATTTCGCATTCCTTCTTAGTCTCAGCATTACGAAGGTCCAGGGGAGGGAGTTGCTCGGGACGCAGTGGTTCGAAGAAGACAGGAAGAAAGGAGTCTAGATAGGTGCCGTGGTTAGTCAGATCCAGATCTCTGCAGTCTATCTTCAGTCTCTCTAAAAGCTCAGTGTCGATGTGAGTGCTAAAGCTGCAGTGTTCCTCGAAGAGATCGTAGAGTTCGTCCATTACTTCGACAGCCTTTGCATGTGCTGCCTTTTTCTCTGCCACACCTCTTTGGTCGAAGAGAGAGCAAATGCGAAGAGACATCTTTAGTGATGAAAGTCGTGTCTGATAGATAGAGGGGGTTGGTGTAGAAGGCAAGTGTGAGTGGTGGTCAAGAGCTTCTGTCTACCTGTTGCCTAAGCGATATGTCGTCACCACAACACATCACGGATACACTCATATGAAGGCTGTTGTATATTCACTCATAATAGACTGTCACTTAGACAACACTGTTGGGAGAGTCCGCTCTGGATTCTCTATTCAAGAAGATTTTGCAGGTGTTCTCAAGAACTTCTCTCCGATACTTCTTTCTTTCTTTTGTTTTTATCATTCATCATCCACATCAGGATAATCTTGCCAGTACGACTTCAAAGACATCCTCTTCCAAGTCCAAGGCCAAGCCAGAGCCTTAGGATATCCCCGCGCTCGGTATCCAAAGTGTATGGAGGATTAGAAGATTTGGTTGCTTGGGCAAAGCTCGATAGGATAACCATTGACACCTTGCCCCAGGAGATGTCAAATCAGCCTCTGAGGTGACGCAAAAGCAGTTCATGGTGCAGTGTGCTTATGAAGATTCACAGTAAAAGTCATAAAGCATTCACTGCTTAATACTCATGAAGCATTCCAGGCGGCCCAGGAAAATTTTGGGCTTCCAAAAGGAAATTGCATGACGCCCACCAACGGTGAGCTATTGATGCCCCGGGTGATTGGCTTTTAGATGGCATTCTGAATTGTCAGGAGAAGGATCTATTGTGTGCTCCCGTTGGAACAAGTATGTACTGTTCACTTCCGCCATATTATTACGCTACTAATACACCTCGGCCTTTGGCGGATTTACCAGCATTTATCAGAGCTCTTCTAAAGAACCAGGCTTTGTCTTCAGGACTGATAGCAATGACTTTCCCTCCATCATTATCGAGTCGGGCTGGTCAGAGTCGTTTCCACATCTACGGGCGGACAAGCATCTCTGGATGCAAGGAAACACCTCTGTGGAGCTAACGATTCTCCCGAGACTTTCGATGGAGCGACAAACATTCTACGGAAATCCCAGGATGAGAGAGTTATCTTCAAGTGGTGAGTACAGACACACCGATCAATAGTATTTCCGGTGATGTTATATACCGATCACATCGCGCTCAAGGCTATACTCGCTAAAGGCACCGAGGGAAACAACAGAATGACCCAATGGGAGAATCGACTCGGCGAATACGACCTCATAATCCATCATAAACCCAATACGGACCGTATCATGTGCATAGCAGACGGGTTGAGTCGTTTACCCACACGATGGCAGTCTACAGTATCGGAGAGAAGGACAAGCGGATCTGGCTGGGTTCCTTCGCCACAGCCAGACGGCTGCAGGAACAGACAATGACTGTCAAAGGTAAATATGACAGGGCTGGCGTTACCCTCCAGATATCAAAATGTCACTTTGCATACAGTTCCATCAAGGCGCTGGGACACCACATCTCGAGGCTAGGCCTGGCCACAGACGAAGACAGAATCAAGGCAACAAAAAAACTGGATTACCCGCAAACCCTGTCAGAGTTCTTTCCGGGTATTACCGAAAATGCTCTTTCGAATCTCACATCGTCGTCTTCGTCAACACCCTCTCGCATCTCAAATTGTCTTCGAACCTCTCACATCGTCGTTTTCAAACCTATCGTATCCTTCACGATCACCTGCTACTCGCAGTCATGGCTGGCAACTCGGCATCCCGTCTGGGCAAAAAACGTGCCGCCTTAGCGGAAGACTCCCTCAAAGCCGAGATAAAGCGAAAGAAGAAGAACGATGAGAAACCTGCAAGCGATGACGAAGACCCCGAAGAGGAAAAGGAAGACGCCGCCCCTGCTGTTAACCTGATCCGTTTCCTCCCAGACCTCTTCCTAGTGGAACGCCTCCTGCCATCCAAATTGGACTTCGATACGCCGGATGATGTCTGGGCTATTCCTACATGGCAGAACCTCTGGAGGCTCTGAAGACTTCACTACTGAAAGGCGCCCCTTTTAAAGAAGCTAAGAGACGTGGCTATGCTGAAAAAACTCGCACAACCTTCGATCAAGACTGCCGCAATGCAGCTACAAATCAGGCCCCGGTTTCCAAACGTCTGCGCTCGTCTTTAGGTACCTCGACACAGGAGGCAAAGAAGCCACTTGAAACACGAAGAGCGTTGCGATGCCATAGAGGAGTGGCCTTCGCTCGTCATTGAAACGGGTCTTTCTGAATCAGAAGCACAACTGCGAGCTGACGCACGTTGGTGGTTCATAAATTCCGGCTACCAAGTTAACATGGTCTTACTCTTTCACATCCAGAGATCCCCCGAGCGCAGAGTCGTTATGAAATTCTACAATCTCGGACCTACCATCCCCAGAGTCACGCGTGGACTACAGGCACAGGTCCGGCGCACTCTGCCATCTGATCCTGCGTCATCTCAAACAGACTCCACAACAGTGTTGCGACCTCACTTAGCGGTCAAAGAGATTGTCATTACCTCAAGAAATATTGAGACTGCTCCATTGGAGCTAGAGTTCGAGTCCGTCATGCGCCGCCCGCCGGCCCCTAACACGAGGAAAAGAAATGTTATATTCACGGCAGAGGATCTTGCTGTGTGCTGCCGCCATGTCTTCCCAGAGACATGAGCATCATCGCTACATGTATAAGCGGCGCCGCGCTTGTCGTCTATCTACAACGTCTAACAGGACTGATCACCGGCATACCGATCGAGTGGGTCCTCAATAGGACATACTTCACCCCGGTGTTCGGAAAGGGGGGGGTACAACACCGTCACTGATGGGGTTTTGCGGGCCAGTGAGACGCTGGCCACGCTTTCTATCGTCGATGTTAAGAGAAGGATGCGTCACAAGAGGACGCCGGCGAGCATAATGCAGGAGGGATGCGAGCTGGTGGGATGGTTAAAAGAATCATCCCATCGCCTCCCCTCATTCAACAGCCAGTAAGTTATGGAGAGAGAGTCTTGCCAAATTTCGCGAACCTATATTGATATGCTTTTGTCAATTATAGCCTTTTGCTGATCTCCCAGGATCGACATGAGATCTTCCCTCACGTTTGCGGCCTATACTCAGGCCTATAAAGGGTACCTTGGAGGAGAGGAGGCCAAGGCCGATTCATTCCTCGTCATAAAGACGTTTGGACCGTGGCGCACGTGCGACCCGGTCCAGATGAAAGAATTCGTGCAATTAGGCTCACAATTGTCTTGGTGGCTAAAAGCGCGCCGCCTAAATTGGCGTGATCCCAGAGATCCCCCCAATGAGAATCATGTCCATTGACCTGAAGCATCCCACGAGAATACATCATGAGCATAACAGACGGTTCGAGAAACTCCTGGCTGAGATGCAAATGACCACCACAGGCAGGCCGGAGGCGGAGTCTAGATCACTCTCGCCGACCCGGAGTTCATGGCATTGATGGAGGAAGGTGGACCGCTGGTCAAAGGAGTCAAAGGACGTCATGCAGGCTTGCTAGAAGCAGTTATTCTAGCAGATGCAGAAATTAGAGGCACTGCACTGGCAGCGCATTGTCCAATTAGTGGTGAAATCAGCTAGGCCATGCCTCAGTGGGATCATGGGAAAGTTCAATGACTCTGAGCTCGTATGGCATTCTTATGTCTATTCTAACTATGGTGAGATTACTAACTATGCTCTAGGCCAAAATATAGATGCCATACTGCCCATAGGGCGGTGTTACTGCTACAGCAAATTTTCTCACAGAATCAAGTGCTACAGAAAGTTCCTTCAATGAATACAAGTATGAACCATTCTACCCTTGCTCTTAAGGCAACAATCTGTAGTGCACTATGGCACTACCATGAGCTAAAGAGACTCATGTTAAATACACTGGAGTGGGGCTGGAAGGCCAACACTATTAAGAAGAATTGAGGTGCACCAAAGGTCATTAGCAGCATGGTGAGTCAAGGGCCCCTAATCTAACTATGGTGAGATGCTTATCTAGAGTAGGAGGAATACGAGACTGAACCAGTTGGTTGGGAGTCGGGAGTCGGGACGGGGATAAAAGGAGGGAAATGAAGATCTTTCCATTCAGCTGGAAACCTAGAATACGAGAAATGACATCATTTGCCAATCCATCGTTCGGGAAGTCTTCGATGGAGTTGGGCAGCTGGAGTCCTGGACTCTGGTGCAATCCTAAGGGAGGCTGGCAGACAGCTGATGACCGGGACGACGGAACGGAAGTTAAAGACAAGACAATCTTCCCTGACTAACAGTAAATTTTTCTAATTGGCGTAGGACTCTAAGAGACTAAGAGACAGTTCGAGACTCCATCCAGACCATTGTCATTTGTTTCATTTGTTGATACCACACACTATTTATCTGGTGCAAATTGGCAGCTCCACAGTCCGACACTGCCCCTGTTGATCCAGACATCACACGATGCTCAATCATTCAGTGACGATGAGTTCACTGAAACTGTTATCCATCGTAAAACCATGCATTATTCTTGTTATCTGGATAGTTGCCTGATTCTCATCATAATAAGACAGTGATCCACCCTGATTACATGTTCAGTCGAAAAAACATCTCACCATGTTACTCCAATAATCGCCGTTTGCGCCCTTAATTAACTGTGTGAAACAGTCCCACGCCCTCCGTCTCCAAAGCAATCAACATTCAACAACCGCATCAGACCACCTGTTCCTCCGCCTCCACCTCCACCATGACCTTTCAATTCTTCCAGCGCTTTCGCAATAAGGATAAGGAGAAAGAGAAGGAGAAGGAGAAGGGCAAAGATCGACAGAAAGAGCAAGCTGAAGAGGACCCTTTGCAATCTGACCCTCGAGTGATTCTGGCTCGGGTGGGAATCTATCATGAAACCTGCAAGCAAAATGGCAACTGTCGCGATTTCAAGGCAATGCCTCTTCCCCCACCTCGAAGACCCTTGACTCCTCCCGATAAAGAGCTTGCGGCCATCCGAAGCAGGAGCAACACCCTCACAGCCATCACTACGTCAACTACCAATTTTCTCGACTTGAACGATAACAGCACGCTTCCCCAGGATCAGAGTCTATTCTTCTCGCGTCTACCCCAGGAAATCCGTCAACGAATATACATCGAGCTGTTTGGTGGCCGGTCGGTCCATCTCGAATACGATTTTGGCTATGCGCCGGGCTACCGTCGGAGAGATAAGAGACCGCCCGACCAATGGCGCTGGTGGCATCGGGTTTGCGATGAAGAGGACAATCCAAACCCCGGAGACATGTGTCGTACGGATGATCTCGAGGATCCGAAGCGTATTGGACGACGAGAGTTGTCGCGGCACAAGCTGAAAGGCGCGGCATGGCTGCGAGTGTGTCGCAGGGGGTGAGCGCTGCAAAGTTCTACGATCCGCGAGATCGAGCTGACTGTGGGCCAGATACCAAGAAGCGCTTCCTCTTCTCTACAGCACAAATACATTCCTCATTTCCTCATCGGTCAAGTTATGTCGACTGCCGAAAATGATTGCACCGTCACATTTATCGCGCATCACTTCTCTGGACATTCTGCACGTCGCAAAGGCAACAACTCCGTCAACAATGACCGACCGCGAGTGGGAGACATACCAAACACTCTTCCGGACGTTGCGATTAGCGTACGTTGGCGTCAGGCGCTTGCGCCTGGTCATCCACATTTTGAACAAAAGCTGCACCCCGCGAGCTGGAACCGTTCCAGAAGAGCTCGATGAAGCCTGGATTCGTCCCTGGTCGGAGCTGGCCTCTTCCCGACAGTGGGAGAGACTCGAGATTGGGCTGCAAGATAGTTGGTTTGACGACTTTTCCGCTGCTGGGAGGCGATGGGAGGGCAGGAATGGACGTCAGCTGGGGGATTCAGGGTATTCGCTGGTGCGAGTAGACGATTTTACAACGTGGGATGGGAGGTTGTCGGAGATCTGGAATGCAGTTTATCTGTAGAGTTATATATCGGCTGGTAAGCGAGATCCTTGCATTCGATACAATTTCAAAAATCGTATTTGCACATATAAATAAAGCCTTGAGCGGAGATTCAATTTACTGCCTCGGAAGCGCAAAATAAAAAATTAAGGGAATCAGAACATGGATCTGACTCTCCTCTCCGAAAGGAAAGAGGAGTGAGAAAAGAAACCAACGAAAAAAAAGAATCTCCCCGACAGGGAGTCGAACCCTGGTCTCCCGCGCTCGTTCTCTAGGAGTGACAAGCGGAAATCATGACCGTTAGACCATCGAGGATTTGTTGAAGGACCGGCCTTATTTGGTTATATGATCCTGGATTGGTTGATTTGTTTGCTATTATCACGTGATAAGGATGAGCCACTATCCACATTGCTCTTGATGCCCCTGCCATCTCCATCTCCATCTCCACAGGACTTCACTACGCTGTACCCAAATACTAATCACGGACAGGATCGGATCAAGGTTTTACATCTTTTAACTGCTTCTCCTCAAAGCCATCAGCAGTCGGAAATAGTACCCGACACACCATGTAAGGTGTCATGGATACTGATGATGTCACGGCCGTATCCCATCCTAATAATAATGAAGAGTCACCATGTCAACATGTGAATTTATCCTTCAACCTGAGGCTGAACCGCAAGGCCTTGAACGAAGAGAACAAAGAAATCCTCTTTAACCTTTATCCACACACAAAAGGTGTGGTGTTTGGTGGCTTTTATTTGCTCTTTTGCGTGGGTGCTTTACCGCCGAGACCCTGGCCGATAACTGTAGCAGGACTCCCAGCGTACTTCACTCTGGATCCCAATGACGACGGTCCGCTTCCCCCAGTCAAAAGAGCCAGTAAATCACAGGTTCGAATCGCTGATGACATTAATGCGAGAGACCTTGCTAGCGGGCTCATTGACGGGGTATTTGTGCTGGTGAGGGACTTTTTCTCAGAATCACAGATTCCGGTGACTGAGATTCAGTACTGGGGAAATTTCCTTGTCATTGTCTTCGGAAGACAGGACGTTGATCTCACCAAAGTGCCGAGATGGATTTGCAGATGCCCCTGCTACTACCTTTACGAAAACGAGATGGGTCGACCATTCCTTGAGACCCTCTTTGCCACTGGTAATCGCGGACCCTCTGGTGAAGTTGTGGAAAGAACATCAACTGATTCAAAAATCGGCGACCGGCTTTACATAAATACTCCATCTTGTGGATTGATTGAAGGGACGTGCGGCCCTGCGTCCATTGTTCGTCTGAGGAGCAGTGACTCCGAACCAAGCCATGAGTGGGTCCGAGCTCAATGGGCTTATATGGGCCAAGGGTCCAAAGACCGGCTGGAGAGTGTAGAAGCCAGATCAGCTGTCACGACTGACGATGAAAAGGTCATAGGTGTCTTTTGCTATGCTCCCTCGTCCGGCCAATTCGAGGACTGGTGTATGTTCACCGCCTCGGATCTTTCTTGTTGAGCCTAAAATGCTTCTTATGTGTCTAAAGTGGTCTATCACGTCGTACGTCTCCTACTAACAGAATAGATTTGTACTATAACTGACAGTAAACAGCATGACTGAGCTGTGTACTTGCTTCTTTCTTTTTGCTAACTACAGTCTTTTGTTTGCTCATTTGCATCAGTTTTTGAATCAAAGTACGAATTATCTCTGCTTTCCAAATTACTTGCTATCCGCCGAACTGCAAAATAACAGGAATACAATACACTGAAATACAATACAATTTAGCCATTCTTCAGTACGTATTAACTGCTCTTTTAGTCCGTTGATGGGTTGTGTACATATATTTAAACTATGGCTGATCGTCCTCATCCAACCTTTCGAGGGTAGGCGGAAAAGCTGAAGTACTCCCGCCTACTACCAACATACTCCTGGACTGGAGGAATGTTTCTTGAAAATCAGGAAGGGAGCTTCTGCAGGACGATTTTCATCGTTCTCTCGATCTCCTCTATCCCCAGGACGTCGTCTTCGTGCTCAGCCATGAGTTTCCGGACATCCTCTAGAGCTCTGGGCAGCGGGGCCGACGCCTCTAACGTATCAACTTTGGATTGAAGAGATTTGACGTCCTCGCGAATACTTCGAATCAGCGCCTGATGTTCCCTGTTCGCAGAGGCTGCCTGGCGGATCATCTTGAGAGCCATTTCCACCCATGACACAGTCTTGCCGCCTTGAGTTAAGACACTTGATATGGCTCTGCGACGTTTGTTGTGACTGGTGACGTGGGACTCTGGTTCCCTCTTGAGCATACGGGGAGTCTTGTTGTGTGCTGCAGACGGTTGCTGAGTGGTGGTGATAAGTGGTTTGGGAGCAGTTTCATCCTCAAGGTGAAGTTCCTGGCTTCCATTTCCCCCCTCTGACTTGATCCGAATGTTCTCTTTTTTCACGTCGATTATCTCTGCTCTGCGTTTGTTGTGACTGTTGACGTGGGACTCTGGTTCCCTCTTGAGCATACGGGGCGTCTTGCTGTGTGCCGCAGACGGTTGCTGAGGGGTGGTGGTAAGTGGTTCAGCAGCAGTTCCATCCTCAAGGTGAAGTCCCTGGCTTTCACTTACCACCTCTGACTTGATCCGAATGTTCTCCTCTTTCACATCAATTATCTCCGTGGAGTCTTGAGTGTCTTCCGGTTCCTCATCTGAACCGTAATCGACCATGATCGCAAGTTGGCCACTTTCGGTTTTCACCTCAGTGACAACCGTGGCTCGCGTAAGTCTGGCAGGCCATTCCAGGCTCACTTCCTTGGCCCAAATAATCGGAGTCCCCAACATCCCATCCCAGGAGACGCGGTCCTCGTCATCAAAAGTCAAACATGTAACACCCCGCGACGAGATGATAATGGCGCCCTGATCCTTTGCCCAGCTGGGCACCTCGACACGCCCAAAGTAGATCGAACCCCTCCTGGTAACATACAGAGGTGGCTCAATGAACCAAGAATCCATCATTCTTGCTATTTCCCCGCCCAGGACATATCGCCCTCCAATCTCGGGATAGTAGTATCGGCCCCGACGCTCAATCCACACCGTCGGACCCTGCGGTTCGCGCTCGAACCTCGTTTGGCCTCTGCTGTTGAAGTCAAATGGCCATCGCTCAGAGCGACGCTTGGGAATGTTCTTGAGGAGGAGCTTGAAGACAACCGCGTCTGATAAACGCGTGCACGCGGGCGGATATCCCCATACATCGTAGTCCCAGACTGTGTCCACAAGTTTCCATTCCTGGGCCATCATCTCCATGTCTAACTTGGTTAGATGTTCTGAAGGGTATATAGGGCCCTTCTCCGTCGATCCACCGCCATGGGATTGGGGGGAAATCTTCGTTCCTAAGGTACGCCTGTGCGATCCACTGTTCAGTGCTCCCGCGCATCTTCTTTTCGTCCTTTTTGTCGAAGTACTCGATTCTTGTTTTGTTTGACTTGGACTGGTGGGGTTCTCAAGGGTATGAATTTGAGAGGCAATTCCTTTCGCGAAGAGAAATCTCGATTAAACAAGGGCGGCAATCGGACTGCTGGTGTGGTAACAAGATGATTCAGGGGGAGCTGTACATCAATGCGAGCAATCGTCTATGTATTGTTTGTATGTCAGACATCAAAATCGTCGTTTCGCTCCATTGATTGTTCTTTATTTTCTTGTTGACCCCTGCACCCATGAGTTACTATTGATGTCACAGAAGACTGGGAAATTTGATTTTGACTGTCTTGTAGGCTCGGCTTGTGGAAAAACCGGCGCTATTAGTCTGAACTTTACTCCGTACCCCTATCTTGATCAGTTCACCCTGATCACAGGTACCTGAAGAAGTAGCTACAACAGCGATACAGATCACCTTTAAAAATTCAATCCTTCCTTCTTAGCATTAGTACCAGCCTAAGTATGGTAGTGTGACTTTGATTGTAATTAGCCCTCATAAGGCATGATTAAGTTCTGGATATTCAGTAGCTACGGTATCCAAAGTTTCTAGTATCATAGGACCTCAGTATCAGTCTAAGAGCTACTACTAGGAAATAAATTTATTAAGTTAGCAGTGGAGTAGTGGGAGGATGCCTGTAGCAATGACTTATTACTGCATAACTCGCCTCTATACTGCATAGTACCGTACTAGCTTATATGGAATGAGCCACTAGACTAGCATAAGTCAAGAATCCACTCGTAAGATTGACACACTCTCCTATCTGACTATGGAGTAGATAATGACTCGACTGCCCATGTCATAACTATCTTCAACTCTGGCTATGCCAGTATATTCTCTCTGTCAAGTCTTGCTCCTTGGTATGTTAGGGTTAGCACATCACGTGCCGAATCGCCCATGTACACTGAGACTAACTTGATTGTGCCTACTATCTGATCTCAAAATGACTGACCCTCATGAAACCCCAGATGATACTCATAAATATTGTCGTGCTGTAGCCATTCACAGAGGCATTCGAGACTTTCGGTCCAAGTCCTCCGTTCGCTCTGTCTGGTATGGAGAGGAGACCAGAGATGCCACGTACGTCTTGTCCGGTATTGGGATAAGAATCAGAGTGATCTGTTCCTCGTACACCACTTATAGAGATCCACAAAGAAGAAATTTTGCTGTACTTCAAACGCTTTGTACAGCGTCGCTAGCCAGACCGTTACGTTGTCCAGCTTTGATCTTCCACTGCAGCCGATGTACCCGCCACCGCTTCGAGCGCGATTCTGTTTGACTGCGCCGTATCAGCCAAATGTGCCATCTTCATTACTTGCGTTCAGGACCATCGAAAATATCAAGAGACGAGGCAAAAACAGTGGTAAAAAACATACAACAGCGGGGATTCGCTGGTGGTCACCCACCCAACTACTAACCGGCCGGCGTGTGGCTTCAACGCGGTCAAAAGGTTGGTGGCTGCCGCGGTCGCGCGACGCTGCTTTTAGTCGCGCGACCTTGGGTGACCTTGGGTGAGTGCAGAATAGACAGGGTGAGTGGTTCACCCACAATCACCCACAGTCACCCAGTCTCACCCAATAGTATTGTCTTAGACCCATAATAACTACATTAGAGCGCCTCTCATTGGCGACGTTTCAGTTCTTGGCTGAACACAGCCACGATGATCACTCCAGGCAGCAATCAATTTCTCCTATTTTTCCGTGATGCAGGCGCCTAGGCTGCAGTCTTGTTGCAGCTTATGATATAATTTGTACCTTAAGTACATACATGCACTTTGAAGACGAGTAATAGCAGCGTGAGGACCAAGTATTAGATGATTAGATAACGTAAGAGTTCTTCGACCGACACCTAGGTAAATTCCAGGGGTGGGTTCATGTTCGGGTGCCTAGTCACGTGATAACCACAATCAATTGTTGCGCAATTCAGACTCGATTTTTTTTTTTATCCTTTATACACCTGCTAGCGGCTTATCGTCGGACCGTCAGCACCGCAACAGTTCAGATCCCTGCCACCACTATATTAATTAGCATCAAAAATCGTTTTTCATTCTGTCCTGAGTACCTTGATTTGCGAGGATCTACTATGAGTACAGACGTAAAGATTAATATACAACACATCTACTAATGTTATTCACCAATAAGGATCCTCCTTGTGGCTTTACAGGATGAGATACCAATCAGAGTTCATGTAGAACTGCTTAAGTACATGTCAACTAACTAGTTAGCCCGGCTGTAATTGATGACTAAGTGAAATATTCCACAGTTCACGTGAAGTTTGAAAAGCCCTTGGCACTAAGTCGGATACATATTTTGAATAACAACAACGGTCTCTTTGAGCGTTGGTCTTTCCGCATGACTTACCCACAATCCACTGGTTTCCAGAGGTAACCCCTTGTATCATAGCATCGCGTTTCCAATTGACTGGGCTATGGACTTGGGGTATTCTGCATCTTTTCTCCAGTTTAAGTATGGACCTACTCTCAAGTGCGACAACCATTGAAAACAAACCCATTGGCACTGGCCTGGATGGTATACGAGGTCAATTACTTTCTGTATGCGTTAATGATGGCCTTCCGTGCTCTGTTGAATCGTTCCAGAAGTTGGATGCCGAAGGTATATCAGTTTTCTTGGTTGGATGAGTGTCTCTGACAGTGGGTTTTAGCTCTCCAAAACTTATCGCTCGACCTGATACTAGCCTTGCAAGCCCTCCCCGCCTCTCGCGTGCTACGACCTGTGAAGAGTGGAAGTAAAAACCTCTTCGGTGATTTATCGAGACTTAGTGCAAGTGTGAACTCCAATGAATTCGACATCGAACGGTTGATACCGTTGTTGGGGGCAATATTGAAGGAAGAACCTGACGCGGTTATTTGGAATAAAGTCTACGAAGCCATTACTGAGCCAACGCCTCCTCCACAATCTGTATCACTCCTGAATCAGACTCCATTTTCGCACAATACAAGCAGCGTTGTCAACTCCTCCGGGCACCGAAAGTATTTTGACGCCGTGCTGAAAGAGGAGCTTGGCTCAATCTTCATTGGTGTGCCTCATTTTTATGACACATTCTTCGGGGATATTACTGGTCTGGAAGAAGAAGTATGTCTTATATTCGAAAAGTGCAACGAAGGTGATTACCCTCTATACCTCGATGGAACCGGCTGGCGCGATTGGCCAAAGGATGCTCAAGAAAAGGATGTCCTGGATTGGCTCACACGAATATCAAAATTGCTCCAAGAGTTTGCCGCTGAAGGGACTCCTGCAGAACAGCGAGAGTTACTAGCTCGGCCTTCCAAACCTTTGAAGGGATCTACTGCGAAACGCAAAGTGGATGTTGCCATTGTTGGGGCCCTGCACGCCGCAGACGAACGTAGTTTTCATTGGTCGCATGTCCTTGTTCCTGGTGAATTGAAAAGCAGCCCAGATCTTGATACTTCATCCAATACCTGGCGCGACCTGGGTAGATATGCGAGGGAGGTGTTTGCTGCACAGCCTACACGTCGATTTGTATTGGGCTTTACTCTTTGCGGTTCCATTATGCGCTTGTGGGAGTTTGACCGCTTAGGGGCCATCGCCTCCTCCTCGTTTGACATAAACTTGAACGGGATACAATTTGTTTCGGCAATGTTAGGATTTCTGCGGATGAATGACAAGCAGCTGGGCCTCGATCCGACCATCAGGACGTCTCCTAATGGGAATCAATATATGGAAATATCACGTGGCGGGAAGATGGAGCGCTTGATACTTGACGGCCTCATGAAACCGTCATCATGTGTTGCTGGTAGAGCGACCGTTTGCTGGAGGGCCCGTCTTGAGGGGAACCCCGAAATCTTCGTCGTTGTCAAGGATTCATGGCAGTATCCGGAGCGAGAGGAAGAAGGCGAGTTACTGCGTGAGATTACTGAAAAAAGCGTTGCGAATGTCGCACGGTACTTTTGTCATCAAACGGTCGAAGTGGATGGAAAAGTCGATGATGTCCGGGATAATGTCAGGAAGGGTCTGGATATCACGAAGGCTTCAAATTTCAAAGATGCACGCCAAGCAAGAGAACGAAGAGACTTGACACGTTCAACCCGTTCCCAAATCAGTGGTGCTAGTCGAAAGAGATCATCCAGCCGCGCTAATAATCCTCTACCCGCCAACAAAAGGCCTTGTTCATACTCTTCGTCCATGACTGGTGACGCTGCCTCGGAGAATCGTATACACCGTCGTGTTTTTATCAGCGATTATGGAAAACCAATATACAGAGCGAGCTCTCGTGTCGCCCTGCTCAATGCCCTTGAGCACTGCTTGATAGGTCAGACTTACTGCGTACGTTCTTATGCTATCAATGCTTATCATCCTAGGTTACGAATCATTGCATACAAACGCAGGTATTCTTCAAGGTGATATATCCACTGGCAACCTTATGATAAACGAAGGAGAAAATGACAGCTCGTGGCCAGCCTTTCTGATTGACCTGGACCTTGCCATCAGAGAGGAGCGAGAGCATGCGTCGGGAGCAAGAGGCAAAACGGGCACGCGGGCTTTCATGGCTATTGGACTCCTTCTAGGCGAGAAACATTCCTTCTGGCATGACCTGGAGTCTTTCTTCTGGGTTTTGTTTTGGATATGCATTCACTACAATGGGCCCAATGAGGAAGTGGGACCAACGGATTTCGACTGTTGGAATTACGACGACGATCAGAAGTTGGCTAACTCGAAGAAGGGGATAGTCGACGACGAATCAGATTTTGAAGGAACAGCAAACAAGTATTTCACACCATTTTATGAGCCTTTGATTCCTTGGGTGAAAGCTTTGCTCCGTGTCGTCTTCCCCGGAGGTGCACGGAGGAAAAAGGGCGATAGAGGACTTTATGCCCAAATTAAGAGAGTCCTTCGAGAGGCCGCGGAAGACCCAAAGGTAATAGGCATGGAAGAAACCTAAGTGTATTTTTCGTCCACATGTTCTAGTTCAGTGCTGAGCAGCAACAATCTTACCATCAACCGGCAGCTCCTAGTCAGGCAGTCTCAGCAGATGATTGGGCTTCTTCGTCTCATTCACGCAGACTTTTATGCCGACCCTCCCTTGACTTTCCTTTGTTGATTGGAGGATGCTTGACCCATGTTGAGGTTAACGTTTCTAGTAGAAATATGACCCTATAAAATTCATTCTCTTGTGTGAACGACTTTTAACGTTCTTAGATACCACAAGTGATATAACAGACTCGGCAAGATCAAGCCACCTGCCTTCTATGCAGCTCTCGAGCTCGGAAAGCTGGGAGATACACGATTTCCCTTTGTACATTGGGATGCCGTGGTCACGGACAATCAAGCCGGAGTCTATCGGGACATCACTAATGATACTGGACCTCTCCTGGAGACAATAGTCGTCGAAAGCCCTCCTTTCTGGTGTGTTTGAAGAGAACAATGATTTTTAAACCTAGTACATCCACATAAGCTCCGGCCCTGAGTTAAGCGCTGTCCGACAAGAGACAATGGCCTAAGCTCCAATACTCAAGTCAAGTGAATGGGTCCTTGTCCATTTTTGGCTCATAATCACGTGATATTAGCCCCACTGAGAGCCGAGGTTCATTCCCAAGGAAAATTCAGGCGTTCCTTTCCTGCAGCCCATTCTCCGACTGGAATGGCTTGATTCACTCAGTCGTCGACGCTCCGTGGCTCGAGACTGATATCCACATAAGCTCTTCTATAATCTGTTAACACGCTTTGTGGCAATTTGTTTACGAAGATGCTAGTGTTAGGGACTAACACGCCATGTGTTCGAGTGCTTGTCGCGAGGAGAAAAGCCTGGTCGGCAAGAGACATGGCGGCGTCAATGTATACAAAGCATTTGAGGAACAGTCGTTTCCTCACTGGTCAAATGATGTTTTGCAATCCTAACAGCCAATGGCCTCTTTCTTGAGAGCAACTTGTTGGCATGCGTCACTATTTGATGGCCATCCACTGACGAAATGCAGGCCTCGCACTACCCAAAACCCCAAGAGATAACATGGCAAGAATTGGACTGGATGTCAGATATATTGGCTGAGAGTGAGTACTTGACGGCAAATCCAGCTCGGAGCTTACCACCTTCCCCATGCCTCTTTGCCATATTCCTTCAAGGCTAATAGAGGCGAAAAATTGCGCTCTGTCGCAAACCCTGTGCCCATCAAATCCTCCCATATCGAAGCTTGCTCGGTTGGAAAGGTGGTCCATTCGCGTATCTTGGTCGGAGGAAATTTACGTCGGCATTAGCCGGATCGCCTTCGGTTGACGAGTCTTTGTCTCTTTGGATGGATAACCCGAGAAATGAATGAACATGGCATGGCAGGCATCGAGGAATTTGGACGGCGTCGTTTTTGGGTTGAAGCCTCAGTTGGTCCTCGGCTTGCTCCCTGAGTAGCTGCTCCTCTTCTAGGCGCCGTCGTGAATCCTGTAACACTTGGAGGGACATTCTGTATGTGGTTGGATGCTGGCCATAATCGAACTGTTTCGGGGAATGTGTTTCGTTTTGGTCTGAAACTGAGAAATCCTCTAGCCGTAATGGGTTTGTTGACGACAGCCAATGACGTGTCATTTCTACCAGCGACCCCACTGTTGCACTTTCGAATGGCAGCACAGTCATATTTCCATACGTCCCTTAGGCTCGTGGCTCTAGGAAGAAGCGCAGGAGTCTGTCGAGGTCGCCCAAGGTCACGTGGTAAGCGGGCAACTTGACGGAAAACCCCGCCATAAAATTAGATAGTTATAACCCAACCTTGCCGGTTGGGTTAAATCTCATTACACATCATGGAAGTGTAGGCTACACCTTCATGTTTTACTTCCTTTCGCTACTCGTTCTCTTCTGTACTAGGGTTAAGAACTTGCGCATGTTATGACGAACCCACGCAGCCTCCGAGAAGCCGCCAGTTCAGTCGCGACCAACTTACGGCTCAAAATCCGCCATCGCTCGCATCCTAATTATCCTTGGCTCTTCCTTCCTCGAGAGAAGGATGTTATAGACAGCATTGTCAATCTATGGCTTCAGGTACGCGGCATTCATTGATACCCTACGACTCTCGACTCACATAATTCAGGATAAAGAGAATCTCGATTTTGTCACCCAAAAAACAGGCAAATCTTTCGACGACGACCCTCGAAAAGATATATCGGATGCATATCCTATCATCTGGGCTGATCGGCCTCTCGCAACCGGTGTTTTACATACCCCGTTTCCCGGCAAGATCCTCGTTATTATCGCGCTCGAGGATTTGGACGATCAGAATGGCTTGCCCTCCAATATCGGTCAGATTCCCTGTGGGGGCTTCGCAGTGCATTCAGGAGATGAGGATATGAAGTTTAAGAAGCAAGGAGGAGGCTTGGCTTTTTTTATCCTGTTGAACTGATTACGACTCATTTGAAAAATGCAACCTTGCACGGAAGCCAGTCATATTCCTGTACATTGCTACAATACCAGTTGGTCGCCGCGTCAATGAGCACCCCAAGCGGTCGAGTCTGTACTCTGTGGTAAAACGTATGTATTCCAGGCTGCCCAAGCGTATTCATCCTCCACTCGGGGCAAACAATAGTTGACAAAGTTACTCCATGCAGACGCATCGGAATTCTCAGGAAGTTGATAACAATGACCATCATTGGCTTGCCCGACATAAGTCGCCCCATAAGTCGAGTCGCTCCAAGAGCTCGTATCATTCTCTTCAGGCATGCGGAATAACGGGGTGGATCTGACAGCTGAATCAATAGCCACCTGTGTTTCCCCCAGATGTGGAGTAGCACGGATAGCTTCTGCAAATGGTTCTGATGCAGGAACATATCTTGGCTCGGTAACCGTGCCTTGAGCCAGTGCGGAATCACTCGTCCCAGACTGTTCACCTGGTGTAGCCGAATTGCCGGAAGAAAAGTCCTCGGCAGCACGGGATGAACACTGGACAAACGTAGCAGCAGTTTCGAAGTCGTCCTGGCCGTGAATACTGAGGCGATCTGACACCATGGCATAGTGCTTTTCGCCAAAGTTACCCCAAGAGGTTGGAAAAGAGTAAAATGAAGATCTGAGACTCGGCGGCGCGGCCGCTGGAGGATCTGTCATTGGAAAGGGATGAGATGAAACCTGATTGGATTGATCTTTCCGGTATTGGGTGATAGTGGGACTGGAAAAATCAGCCTGGTATTGGTCATCCAAAGGTATGCCGGAGCCCTCGTTCAGGGATGAGTCTGCATCAGCGATTTGGCCATGTGGCGTGGGTATAGACTGAGAAATTTCGGGTGTAGCTTCCTTTTGGAGACGTTTAGACTTATTATAAAAGTCGGAGGGCGGCCTTTTCCGGCATCTGCGTTCTGACGAAGCGTGTTCGATCTTCCCGTCGACTGTCGAAGCCGTTGGATAGCTTTCTTGATCTCCCCCAGGCTGAGCGGGTTCTGGAGGCGTAGACGTCAGTTTGTGCACGTGTCACTCATCACATAAGCCTTACCACGGGCATAGCTGGACGCAGTTTGTTGGCCCAGTATCATTGGCTCACTACGAAGAGGTCTCCGTCCTTCACTTCCAGACACAGGATCATTATGGTTTATAGCCTTCTCAATGTACCCTTTGGCCAGGCTATCCGCAGCCACAATACACCGTAAATGTTGCAAGAATCGTGTGTTGCCGGTGGCCAATTCGTCATATCCCCAACCACAGGTTGTCAGTGCTTCGATCATCAACGACGCGACCGGGAAGTCCAATTGCCGTGCAATTTTCTCCGCCCTAGGATAATTCCTTCTCCTGAAAGATATTAGGAAGTCCACGTCACGGATCGAGAGGTCTTTCTGCCAACTATAAAACGACATTAGTGACAGTTTTGCTTCATTATGCCTGACATACATATGGTTATTGTCAGCACCAAGTGTGGCAAGGTCGCCAAGCCCACATTTTTCGATGAGCCTGTAAAATAATGCTGATCGAGTGTACTCTCCAGATATTTTCTCTTTTGTCGTAGGAATTTCCTGTGCTAGTTGCTCCAAAGCCACGCTCAGTCTCCCGCGTCCTTTGCTAAGAGAACGCTTTTCTACCATGTTCGCCCTGTCGTCAATATCATTTCGTAGAAGGACAGAAACTGTACGCGATAAAAAGGCAACGGTGTTGCTTTTCTCCTGGACGCGTTTCTGGCCGTCATATAGTCGGCTGAATCTTGTTTTCGCCTCACCTCCTCCGAAGATGGCGCCGCCGAGATTCCAGATACTGTTCAGATCTTCTGGGCTAATATTGGGAGTAACGTAGGCTGCAGCCGCATTGATGAGGCACTTTCTGTGGTAATCACTGATACCACAGGCGCATACGTATGCACCCAGTTGTTCTAAATGTCCGATAGGTTGTGACTGAGGTATTGACAACAATAATCTCGATTTTTGGAGTCTTCCACGGTTTGACGGTACTTGTACTGTCGACTTCAACGAGGGATCAAAAGGGGTTCTGATAGATAGACTTGTCTCGTTATGGGAACTTCGCGGTTGTTTAGGAAGCAAATCGGGCTCACGTCTAGTCCAGTTTGATTGATAGCTGGCCGGAGCACTTCTTCCATGGCATATACTTGGTTTGTGTAAATCAAAGAGCTGTTGAAGTTCTTTCCCTGTGCCACGCTCTAGGAATGACCTGAAAGCCGACCGCAGTGGCTGCAAGTGAATTAGTTGACTCCAGCGCGTCCAGTAAAGACATGGCTTACCTCGGAGCGAAGGATTGTAGCTGGCGTAGATTCGTCAAGTGCATCAATGAACATATTCTCTGTAGACATTTTGAGAAACAAGACATTTGAAACTGCCAGCTGATTAAAGTTGAATTTTGAAGCGATCGATAGCGATGGAAGTTCTGTAACTCCTCCAGACCACCCCTCAACTAACATCAACATCAACCAGCCGCACAAAATAGTGCCACCTGCTTGAGGAGTAGTCTCATTTGGCTCCGAAAATGCTGGTTGGCCCTTAACCCTCCCTGCGCGCTAAACCATGTCATCTAATTGGCGTGAGGGAAAGTTACCTGGCACCTCTTTGACTTGGAAATGGGCTAACTACTCTCAGTTTTGCTCCTGTGGAAAAAGGTAACCAAGATATCCTTCGCTGAAGCATGATCGAGACCAGAATCATTTTCCTTTCACCCCTTTCCCTCTGACTTGGAACTTGTGGAAAGAAACGCTCCTGTGCTCTCCGCTCCGACAACAAACATTCCATAGTACTAGTTTTGGGCCCACGGTCCTTTCATCTAACCAGTCCGACCCTCTGTGTATCGGTCGAGTACGAGGTCTGCAAGTTAATTGTAGGTAACTAATAACGACTAAGAGGGAAGATCATAGGCATTTTACGGATATCCCAAAAAGGCTAGCCAGTTTATTCTGCGACAACCTGACGTAAGCGAGCCTTCCAGCCAAGTTATGTACATCCAGTGTCTGACAAACCCATTCTGACAGACTCGAGGTCTTGAACTAAGTCACTGGCAGATTCATATCCTTTGAGCCAGCATTTGAGAGTAATTTCACTGCAAACATGTACATCCTGTGGGAACTGCTGCTTCGCAAACCTATCGTTGACCTTTTCATACCATCCGTCTTCCCCATCAACAATGTCGGGAAACACAGGGTGGCCCATCATGATAAAGTAGATAGTGCAACCCAATGCAAAGAGATCTGTTTTTGTGTCTGCCTCAAACGGATCCTCTCGGGGGCAATAGAATCTGCAAGGTTCGCCGCTGCCTCCATCGAGGAGCACAGTGCCATTCTCTGATAAGTGCTTCCCTTGGAAGTCAGACAGTTTGAGATGGAACTCCTCATCGAGAAGGAAGTTTGCGGGCTGAATGTCGCAATGAAGTACTCCCCTACTATGGATCCATGCGACTGCCTCAGCTGCCTCCTGGCACCAGGATAACCTCTGCTGGAGTGACGGCGGGGAGTCGACCGATTCGAGGATATAGTCAGCCAAATTTCCATTTATAGCACGCTCCAAGTAAAGCCCGCTATTCGAGAACCTCTTCAATCCTATGATCCGTCGATGGTGTCCCACGACTTCGAGAAGCTTCCTTTCCACTTCAAGCCGGCTCATGTCTCCACCATGGGCGAGAGGATATTTCAAAACAGTGGATGCGTCGACTTCTCCAATGAACGCGCTGCTTCCTGACGCAATCACCCGCTGGACTTCAGGGGGACAGTACTGCTGGTATACCACAATTTCGGCCTCGTGCAGCATTCTGGGGGCGGGGCAAGGATGATGGGATGAGAAAGGCTCTGAATGGGAACGCGACGAAGAATTAATAGGAGAAAAGGTGGTCCATCTGTAGGACAGAAGAGAAGGTGATTTCCAGAGCAAAGACATGGGCTTCCGACCCGTCTTTATCTGTTGGGGTGCCCATTTGGGCCTCAGCTGCCAAGAAAGCCCAACCTGGAAAGGTTAAATCCGATTTGTCTTGGCACTTTTACTTGAACGCTGAAGGCCATATCTGGGCATATCCGGACAAGACCGATTCGCAATATACTTGAGAAAATTGACTGAGTTCTATAATGGCGACATTTGGTGACGCCAAATAATTATGACAACTGAAACAGCCTTCGCATTCGCATAACCAGCATAGGGAAACCTAATCTAATAGGGAAAACCTATACCAAGGCTGATACCAATATCACAGAGAGACAGCTTCGGTAACGAGAGATGTTTTAGATACAGCGAATGGCCCAATATCATTGCAAAATGCGAACGGTGAAGTTGTGTCCTAACATGACGCAGAGAACCCCACACAGTATAGCAAGGAATGTGTACCGAACGAAATTTGCAGCTTCCGGGCGCGATTCAGCTGCCAGGAAAGGCTTGATTGCCATCTAAAATGGTTAGTGTGGGATTATCACCAGAAGAAGTTATCCTAGCATACCTTGATCAAGATTAACATTTTGGGCATATATGACCAGGAACTCGGACCATCGACGTTGCGAGGTATACATCTCTGTATCCTGTGCATGTGCTGCCACCTGGCTTACTGCATTGAACCATTGCATACTCCATTATTTCGTGTTTCGGGGTAGCAGTGCAATGCTGGTATATCTTGCGGGTGATGCGTCGCTCACAGCCACATGCCATGGTGATTTTGCTCTGAATGACTAAACTGGGTGGGGACTGAAGATGGACCAGTGAATAGGAGCTGTTGATAGAATGTTTCGGAGCAAGGGCGTCGCGATGGAAAAGTTCGAGCTCATTGTGACGCCTTTATATAGATATTTTTCTCCAGTTAAAGAAGTTATAAATCCCCGATAGATTGCCCAGATAGCTGCTTACATGTCTATAGCATGGACGAAACTGTTTCTACTCGCCAGTTTCTCTGCTTGACACCACTTTTCTCGTGGACAACATCACTTTGCACTGGTGCGTCGCTCGGACTATACGAACGGAGCGAAAATCGGTTGGCGCCACTAACTATTCCATAAATTACCGATTTCCAACCGAAAAATTAAATTTCAGATGTACGAGTCGGCCTTGGCATCGAAAGTAATAGATTCCTACCGCCAATTGGAACGTGTAGCGGATTTAGATTCCCCTGCGGGAAGGGAAATACACCTATACCATTGGCCGCGTCCAGACACCAGCGAAGCACCTCCTTTGTCATCCCATGTCAATTCTGTGGAGCCAAAGGAAATGTATCATCAAAACAAGAGCTTCGATATAGGATTACATTTTATGCAAGGAGCATTCCGCCTTGGGCAAGCAGTGATGACGAGCCATTATCTAGATGATTCAGAATAATTGCGCACCATTGCTTGAGAGAATCTATTCCCCTCACTTTTCCTTTCTAGGTTGTGATTTTCCGGCGCTATTGCAACAGGGCACAAATATCGCCCAGGTAGATATTTGTAACATAGTACATTGGCGACAGCAATCAGCCACATCACATTTATTAGTCCCATTTCGTTCGCCTGTCGAACGTATCATGCGTGGATCCACCCGGAATCAACCGTGGTTAGTCCACCCATGGATATTTTTTGGCGAGAATTACCCCAGAAGTACCAGGCTCTGAGGATAGTTTGCGTTATACGTTCAAACACCCTGCCATGCATTAATCCCATATGTACCAAGATATCTTTGCGATTTATCTCAGATCGGCGTTGGTTGGCACGGTCATGGATATTTTGTGGTAGTTACACCCTCTTTCCGGACCGCGCTAGAAGCCTAGAATCTAAGTACTTTTGTTTATGTTTCCTTTTAGTTGTGAATCTGTATGATTCTTTGGACAGCCATAAATACCAGCTGTAGTTCAAAACCCAGAAAGTCAATTCTAACTCATCGTGCATTGCCTGGCTTTCTGCCTTGATGAGTCCTGTGATCAGTCATGGCGAACAAAATCCAAGTGACCGTGGATGTCGACATAACCGAAGTTATCGACAATGTATGCGAAGCTTCCCAACAAATCTATGTGAATGGTCATAGAGGTGCGTTACCTCACTATATGTGTTCGTTTTTTTCTAATCAGATGCAGTCGGTTCTCGCATGTCGGTCCTTCCCAGTGGCAAAGGCAGCCTCTCTCAGCCAGGCAAGAGTCCTGTCCCAGTGGCATTACCAACAGCTAATAAAGCACGCAGCCTTCCAATCCTGGCGAATGCGTTTCGACCTTTCCGATGCAGACTGGAGAAGCGTACACCAAGGTAGAAGCAGACGCTATGCTCAGAGGCGTATGACATGGGATCAGTCTCCAGTGCCGTCATCAAACTGATCAAAACATACGATCTGGGCCTAAGAAGTCGGAACTGTCATGTCAAGTTGACAAGGTTATGGTTATAATGGTATTTGTCAGAAGGCAACGATTGGGTGACAGAGAGCTTGTATGAAAATTGTGCTAATTTTGCGGAGGGCGACCTTCTATACGTGAGTTGAAGATTGCTTGACTGATACGTCCCAGTAAAGATGTCTGTCTGCGCGAGTTACCTAGTTCTAGGCTCCCTGTAGAACCCCCAAAAAGTACGACGATGCACATTAGAACATAAGAGAACAATAATACTGACCAAAGATGTTCTTTTATCGTTTGTGCTCATAATTTTCCCTGCTTTGATCACAAGACAGCTGTGAAATGGAGCTGTGCCCTGCGTGTCTTTTCAAGTCAGAGTATTTACCATAGATCATCTCTACACTTATCTGTTCACGAAGGTGCTTTTGTATGAAGTGCCCATAATACCGCGTTTCTTCTTCATTTACTGGACATCTAGCAGTGGTGCATATTCGCTTTCAATACAGCACGGACACAATGGGGTGGCGTTTTCTAAGTTCCATATTCATCAGGCTTTTCGCATGCGCCCTCCCACAAGGTCTGCACATTCGTATCAAACGAGCAGGTAACTGTACGCTGACTATCCACAGCAATCAATCGTAACACAGTTTGGGGCTCCCACTTTGTTCATGATGCTGGATATGGATTACGGATTATGGATTATGGATTAGTTAACTTAGGACCGATCAAAGCACTGGATGAATTAGTGTAAAGAGAATGGAACTGAGCGTCTGCGAAGTTGCAGGTCCTACTGAGGTGAGGACGGCCCGCGTCCATCAGAAACTTTCATTCTCTGTTAAGAAGTACCCAAGCGCTATTAGCCATCTTTTCTAAGGAACAGCCGATCTCCGCTGTCCCCGAATTTCGTCTCCAGTGGCCGTTACTCACGCCACACGCAGTCTTTTAGATTCACGTTCTTCAGATTCACACCGCAATCGTTTGAGAGAACCCGGCCGCTTGTGACGGTCTAATGTGCACCGATGGAAGTCAATGATTAAGGCTCGTTTAAGCTCAGCATTCCACAAGATGTTTTCCGAACGAAGATCCTGGTGGAAAATGCCTAAAGAACGGATTTCCCTTACCGACCGAGAAATCGCACGTTGAATGGTCTCGTCAAGGGTTATATGGCCCACGCTCTCGCCACCCCAACCCATAAGGAGCATATGACGGATTTCTCCCGCGCCGTGGAGGAAGTAGATCTGGGCCAAATTGATAGCTCCAAGAAAGACTGGGACTGCCGATCCTTGGGCACGCTGGAGGATACGGTAAACCTCTGCTTCGCGCGACACCTCCTTCCAGAGTCTTGAAGTCGTCCCTTTCCCGACAATAGTATATCCGAATGTAGCACAGGTAATCTTGAATGGCGCACCGTAGGACCCACAAGGGCCTATTGGAGTACAGTTATGATCCAGATCTTGATCAAGCTGCAACTTGAGCTTCTTCACTAGGTCTTCTGCGCCGATCGGGTGACGGTCGTCACCTCTGCCGAGTATGTGCAGCTCCGTGTTTGGACAGTCAGGATCAAGCGTGCCGCCTTGCTGTAGCCCTAGAAGGCACTTTTGTGTGCAATATTGAGCAACATATGGACGAGATTGCCCGATTTGGTTCCCTTGGGGGTCTGTTCGGGGTGCGGAGCGTTGGGTTGAAGGGGAAGATGTAACCTGGCTAAACCCCCGCTTCCGTCCAGCAGATGCGGAAGGGTCTACCTCAGAATCCGAAGAATCCTCTTGGTGATGCTGGTCGGATGATGGCGCGCAGCCAGAGGCTGCTCGTGTGGTCACTCGACGGCCATTGGTGACGGGAGATCCTGCTGGAGACGATGAAGGGAGGTACTCAGAGGTAGTCTGCTCAGGACTAGTGTATTCGGAGCCAGAACAGTCCACGCTAGAGATCTGTGGTAATGCCGCCGCTGGGATCTGGGAGCGTTCGCTATCGAAACTCGTGTGCCAAATTGGCAGCTGTGCCCGCGCGTCATTCCGCCAGGCTTGATCACGACAAGAGGAACGGAAACTCATCAGACAGAGGCATAGAGTCCTCTCAACTCGGGTCCTGGGAGCCCCGGGCCTTCCGACACCCGCAGTTTCGTACATATTGGGGTCGCCAAGGTCGTAATAAAGAGTACTTGGGTCGTCGTAGGGCACCCAGAGCTGCACGTCCATGAGGCCGTTCGTTAAATATGAATACTCGAGACCTTCTTGAATCATGACGTGAAATTCTTGGACAATGGCTGATCCGACCAGTCGCGCAGCGTTGTACCTTGATTTCTTCGGCTCTTCCGTAGGAATAGTGTCGGGTTCGACGACTTCTTGCCAGAAATCCATCGGCCGGAGTCCCTCACGGAGGCTCCCCACCGAGAGCTTATGTGGTGGTTTGTATTCGACTGTAGTGAGCAAGGTGCTCGTATTACCATCGACTCGATGGATACAGAATTGGTCAGGTCTAGAGGGTCTTGCGGCTGATGGTAGGCTAGCATCTATTCCATCATCTTCATCCAGAGCATTGGCGTGATTATCGAACCATATTCCGTTGCCTAAATGGAACTCCTCTCGAGCATTGGGTATTTTGCATAACTCAGCGACGATATCATGCACATGGTCTTCAACGGCCAGTCGCTCATAGGTCTCGAGATCCTGTTCGCTGCTGATCGGTCGACGCGCGAATCGTCGGCCATGGTCTCCTAACGCAACAAGCGGTGTGAATAACTGTCGTGCGTCCTCTTCCGTTGGCTCAAGGTAGCGGCAAACAGATTCGTAAATTTCTCGTTGCCTAGCTTCACAGTTCGTCCACGGAAGCAGTCGTATGGGGCAGTATTTCCCGGTAGGAGGGGGGATCTTGCCGGTTGTGGAGCGAGAAGGTGCTTCAGCTCGTAGCGGCCGCCAGAGGAGATCGTGGCAATGTCGTACAAACTCCCCGAAAGTCGTCGGTCGGTTGCGCTCCCTCTCCTGCCTCTCTCTTTCCTCTGCCTGCCTCTGACGTTCTTCTGCCTGCCTTCTCAACGCAGCTTCCTGCCTTTGGCGTTCCTCTGCCTGCTTCCTTTCCTCTTCTGCCTTGAGGAAAAGCGCCTTGTAGTCCGGAGAGCTGCTCCCACTCATCGTTGCCGTGGAAGAGGGATGGAAGACCCCGTGGCAGCGTTGTTGGTTAGACTACCCCTGTTATCGGACGTCAGCCGGGCGGAAGCTCGGCGAAACTATTTATGCGCCGAATTATTCGTGTGCCACCCCACTCGCCAAGAGACTCCCTGGGACGAGAGCGGTGGTTTAAGAACCTCATTGTGTCTAATATGAATTTGTATGTTACATTCGCCTGCAAGCTTCTTCTTGAGCGCAAAATGGGCAGATCGATCCAGTCATCACGCATCACCACTGATATTTGTACGGTAAGGAGCACATTCAGGTTAGAGAGAATAAACTTTACTGATCCATAGCAATATGTAGATCCAGTGACGTATCCGTTTTGTCTGCAGTGTAAAGGTGTCCTCTCCGCATTCAACTCGAGCTTGGTTGTCCTCGAGACATTCTAGGAAGGCGTTCCGGTAAATGAGGGATCTACGAAGGGAAGGCATCGATTATAAAAGCCCATGAGCACAGCAAGCTGTGCGGAGTGGATATTTGTCTAGGCATCCGATTCAAGTCGGGTGTCCACGTTCTTAGCTGACCAGACTAGTCCACTGCAGGAAAAGTATTATCCAATCGCCAATTCGGAGGACGGCCGAGGATTTCGCACCTTCGAAAAAAACCAGCACGGTTGCCGAGACTTGACGATGACTGAAGGCAATATTCACATCAACTTAATGGGGATTTTGACGTCTGCAATTCTGTGCTTAACACTTTTTAGAACTTTTCATCACGGACCTTAGTCAATTTCACTGAGCGGGACATATCTTTGGTACTGTATGTTGTAGAGATCATACAGTTCGGAGCGGATAAAGATGGAGACCTCAGTTGGCCGATTTGATAAAGCCTGATAGTTGGTCGACGTAAGGGCAACTATGAGAATACAAGTGATACTCATCGCCACCACCTACGCCCGGGGGGTTGGGGTGGTTTGGTTGGGGGG